GTATACACTCTTAATGAATTGACTATTGCTCCATCTACTGATATGATTTAAGTTCTGCCAATGGCTACAACTTCTACTTCTTAGGGTATAAAACTGAAAATCAGATGAAATTGCCAATCAACACAATGAATAAATGAATCAATTAATGTCAATGAATCTATGAAGTTGCAGGATATACATCAAGGATGACAATAAATCAGTCATTAATAACTAGTTTTTATGTAGGCATTTGATGTCAATATTTTAGGCTTTATTTGTAGTTATCTTAAGTTAGTAAATTATGCATTTGCCTTATGTATCATCATTGAATGCATAATGTGGATCGACCTCCACTTGCTGGAGATTGCCGAGCAATTAGCTTAAATATTGTTGGCTTGTTATTATTTATTTTGAAGTCTTTAGAAACTTTGATGGTAACAACAGGGATGAAATGCTCATTTGTCTTTTCAGGCTTCATTGCAATCAGAAAGAAAAGCAGCAGAGGAGGCTCGTAATGCTTATACAGATGCTGAGGCCAGAAATGCAGAGCTGGAAAAGAAACTTGAAGATTCAGAGCAAAAAGTGGATCAACTTCAGGAATCTGTGCAAAGGTCTGTAGAAAAGAAATTTGTTTGAACACAAACTAGCAGTACTTTGTTTCAAAATGTTGAAAAGAAAAATAAAAGAGTTAGAAAAGGGACCCTATCATCTCAGAGCTGATAAGTGACAAGATTAATTCTTCCTTTTCCTATCCTGTCTGGTTGTCAGTTGTCATGACACTCAAATGTATCTGTCACATTACTTCACTTGATGCTTCTGTCTGCAAGCACCTTTCGCATGTGTCCCTTTTTCTTCGTGTGGCTCTTTATGTCCCAAGTCTAATTGAAACTTTTTTATTTTTTATCATTCAGCCTCTTAAAGTTGATTCATTCTATGCTTCAGGTTGGAAGAGAAGCTTGCCAATTCAGAATCTGAGATTCAAGTACTTCGTCAGCAGTCACTGGCAATATCACCAACTGGGAAATCTTTGACTGCTAGACAAAGAACAATGATTGTTCCGGTCTATATTAGATATTAATAGTACATTAAACATCCTCATATTGTAAAGTACAAGCTTAGAGAAATATATCCTGAGTATTTGTTAATTAATTTGCAGAGGACACCAGAGAATGGAAATGTTATAAATGGAGAAACAAAGGTTCCATCGGTACGGAACATCATTAATTGTGATAATGGAAGTTGAAAATTCATAGGATATAAGATGCTTTATTGGTTATATTATATTTCTTACTTCTCGGTATCTTTTCAGGATACAACTCTTGCCATATCAAATGTACGTGAGCCTGAATCTGAGGAAAAACCTCAGAAATCCCTCAATGAAAAGCAGCAGGTTAGTGGCCATTGTTATGCATGACACTTTTTTGAAACTCATTCTAATATCTTATCTGATACTTAATTTTGAGTAGTAGATTCATGGATATAGCAGTCTTGATTTATTGCTACTAATCTGCCTTTTGTGTTTCAGGAGAACCAGGACCTACTTATCAAGTGTATATCACAAAATTTGGGATTCTCTGGGAGCAAACCAATTGCTGCTTGTGTAATATACAAATGTCTTCTTCACTGGAGGTCATTTGAAGTTGAAAGAACAACTGTTTTTGACCGCATCATTCAAACAATAGCTTCTGCCATAGAGGTAAGCTATAGTTTGGCTTTTAAAATTTTTGTGCATCATTAGCCAATAAAATTCGTCAGCTCTCAAAAGCCTTTGAATTTGGGGGCTGATGGAATTAGTTTGAGAGAAACTGCAAGTTGTCAATGTCTTGTCTTTTTCTCACTTTTCTGGATGAAAAGAATATCATTAATGTAAGCCATGTTTACCTTACTGAAGGTCCAGGATAATAATGATGTCTTAGCCTATTGGTTATCTAATTCATCAACATTATTGCTGATGCTCCAACACACACTTAAAGCAAGTGGGTCTGCAAGTTTGACACCACAAAGGCGAAGAGCAGCATCAGCTTCACTCTTTGGGAGGATGTCTCAAGTAAGAAGTTATTATTTATCTTACTGAAAAATTTATCCTAGCCTTGCCAAATATATAATTAATTTTCTTTTCTTGCTTTTATTTTGTTTTAATATGAATTCTAGGGACTACGGGCATCTCCCCAAAGTGCTGGGCTTTCGTTTCTTAATGGTCGTGGGCTTAGTCGACTAGATGACTTACGGCAAGTTGAGGCTAAGTACCCTGCATTACTGTTTAAGCAACAGCTTACTGCCTTCCTTGAGAAGATATATGGAATGATAAGAGACAATCTAAAGAAAGAGATCTCTCCACTCCTTGGATTGTGTATTCAGGTTATTGCTAAGTTATTTCTTTTTTCAGGCAAGATTTTTGGTTCAAAATTTTCAGTTTTGAAAATGAGACTTTTTTTTTTTTTGAGTTGGGGATGTGTAGGTTTGGGGGTTATGAAAACTGGTAACTTACTGCTACTATTTCTAGAAATTGTTTGTTATGGTAATCTTCTGAGTACTGACACAAACAAGTATGAGTAAATACACACCATCGCCTTTAAAAGCATATTTTCATTACAATGCAGGCTCCTAGGACATCACGGGCAAGCTTGGTGAAGGGACGTTCTCAAGCAAATGCTGTCGCTCAGCAAGCTTTAATTGCTCATTGGCAAAGCATTGTGAAAAGCTTGAACCGTTATTTGAAGATAATGAAAGCGAACCATGTGAGTCTAAAACTTTTCATGAAAATAGAAATTTGTAATTTTTCTTCTAGGGATTTTAGGAGTCTCACTTTTTTGGTTCTACAGGTACCTCCCTTCCTAGTCCATAAAGTGTTCACTCAAATATTTTCATTCATCAATGTTCAGCTATTCAACAGGTATCTCTCTCTGTGTCTGTGTGTAAACGGACTTGCATATTTGTTACTTGATTATATGATGTAGTGAAAGGGTATGGTCAAATCCCATGATAACAGCGTGGCATTTGCCTTGCACATTTTTGCAGTCTTCTTTTGCGACGTGAATGTTGCTCATTCAGTAATGGGGAGTATGTGAAAGCTGGTCTGGCTGAATTAGAACAGTGGTGCTATGAGGCAACTGAGGAAGTAAGCTGTAGGCAATCATTACTATTATGCCCTCCCATTTTTTGCTTGTTCCTTTACCCGAATTCTTCTTGTGAACAGTATGCAGGTTCAGCATGGGATGAAATGAAACACATAAGACAGGCTGTAGGATTCCTGGTTAGATTCATCTTATAGCATTTCTTGTATAATAATTGTTTCCAATAATGATCTCGTATGACCCACTGATGGATCATTTCCCTGTAACTCAGGTTATTCATCAAAAACCCAAAAAGACCTTGAATGAAATAACTAAAGAACTTTGCCCAGTAAGTGCCTTTCTCTTTCAAGATTCCTCACCTGAATTTTTTCCTTCTCTATATCTTCATGTTTCTTTATTATGTTTCTCCTTGTTCAGGTACTTAGCATACAACAGTTATACAGAATCAGCACAATGTACTGGGATGACAAATATGGCACCCATAGTGTGTCATCAGATGTAAGTTCAAAATACCAAATATGTAATGTTGATTTATATGGCCTATGAAATACTAAGCCTGTTTGTTCAGTCACTTTTTTGAATTTTAAAATCCTTCCCTGCTTTCAGGACATGGCAAGTTTATTAATGAAATCTTCACTGTACAGGTCATTGCAAACATGAGAGTTATGATGACTGAGGACTCCAACAATGCTGTTAGTAGCTCTTTCCTATTAGATGATGACTCGAGGTTAGTTTGTTCCGCCTTGTAGCTTCATGTTGAAGAGTAGTTAACCCCATCTTTTACTTAATCCAACACACTTTATGATTCATACATGTACAATTCATATATCAATGCAGCATCCCATTCACGGTGGATGACATCTCGAAGTCCCTGCAACAAGTAGACATAGCTGATATTGATCCTCCATCATTAATTCGTGAAAATTCTGGTTTTGGGTTCCTACTTCCACGTTCCGAGTGATAATCATGGTTGCAGCGTCGCATACTTATCAATACACTTTTGAATCACTGTATTAGTCCTGTGCATATAACTACATCTCTCCTCCATGTGTATACTATTTTTTTTTTCTTTCTTTCTATTTTTCACATCCTCCCTGGCTGGTGGTTTTTGACGTCTGGGGTCACATGTGATTCTTTTCCCCATGTTAAAAAAAAAAACATGGGATATTTCTTAGGAAGCAATATCACCATTGGCGTGGTAACGTGCAATTTAGCAATAGGTTGGTCTTCTGCCCACAACGGGCATTTTGCTCTTTCCCTTTTTTTTTTTTTTTCAAAATTTTAATATCTTTTGGGGCAAGGGGCTCCTTTTGCATTTTTTTCTTGGTTGAGTTTGCGGGTTTTCATTTTTTATTTTTGGTGATTTTTGAGTGTAATTAACTTCAACGGTCGCATTTTATAGGTCATGATTTGTTGTATCAGTCAATGGTGTAAATCCAATTTTACTGAATGAATCTAGCATTATGAACAATTGTGTTATTATTGTTTTTTTTTTTGCCGTTTTGTCTTATCAATTCTGTGGGTTTCAAATTGTATTAGCTACCAAACTGAAAGGTAAACTATCAGCCCTATCTAATGAATTTTGTAGGTATTTTTGGAAGAAAATTATATAAATTGCAATGTACATTATTTGTGTAAAATTTTTGTCAAAAAATATTGCATATTTTAGAATAAAAATATTATTATTATTATTTAATTTGAATAAAATATTGTATATTTTAGATCAATGTGTCATATAAAAGGCAATCAATAAAATTTCATGTCATTCAAATTAAAAACAATCTTAATATTGATATTAGTTGTCTTTAAATCTAATTTTAATAAAAATACATAGATTAAATTCATTAAAATTAGAGTGGAAAGATTAAAAATAACAAAATTGAAATAATAGATGAACCAAATTCAAAATTTAATCAATAATTAAACACAAAAAATTAACAAGCATATATATTGTACAGTGATTTGCTGGACTCAACTCATATAACGTGCTTCAAAGACTTTTTTAAGGGCTAAGCAACCCTTTAAGCTTGCGGGTCACGTCCTAAACAATAATTTTGAAGCTCGAGCTTGATTCGACCCGAATTTTTATTATTTATCCAAATAAGCAAACGGCTGAACCAATTAACCCGAGACCAAAGACTTGAATGGATCACGGTTCGATCCCATTATGATAACTAGCAAATTATTGATTAGAATCTAGTCAAGTCTTTCCTAGAACACAAAATCCTTCCTTGGAAATCCTCCTAGATAAGCGAATACCTCTTGAAGAGAAAGAAACACTGAAGACCATTTCCTGGATTTGACAAAGCAGTTCGTACTATATTTACAACAGCTAAAATTTCCAATTTAGCTCTACATATTTATTTGGAGGATAGTTTTGATAAAATTATTAGAGATTCTCAATCAAAAACTAAATGTTAGGACTGTCTAAGAAAACCAATCACTGTTGTCTTTGAGCTGTAACATAAACACACCATCCTTGGTTGTCCTCACATACAATCAACAGATTGACTAATTTGCCATGATTTTTACAAACCATTCAAGCGCAGCTATTACGACCGGTGTAACTCGTAAGAATCGTTCTCCTTCATTGCATTTTCCATTAAATCTGAGGGTTGATCTTGTTGACTTTGCAACACGGGCTGCATTTGAATCTCTGATTTCTTTTTCTCCTTCACAATTACCTGTCTAGGCATCACTTCTAATAGAAAGCTTCCTCCATTCCATACGGAGGCAGATACCTTGAGTATTTGGAAGATCACATGGAATTCGTAGGATAGGAAGATAGGGACTGTGAGTGCCATGGTTGCCACAGTAAAAATGGCTTGAAGTAAAATGTACATGAACAAACGGTTTTGATCCCCAAGCAACCCACTTAAACGCCACCATACGTTGTTTGCTTTCTGGGCCTTTTTAGAAAGTTCCCTATTAAACGAAGAAATCATCATAACTAAAAGAAGCCAAAGCTAGGCAGCTTAAATATATAAAAATATTTATAGCTATTAGCGAAACAATGTAACATGGGAATACAGAGAGAGAACCTGTAAGAAGTCATGACTTCGGGATCTCTTAACAGCCTCTGGCGACGTAGCACATCAACAATGAGGAAATAAAGAACTTGCCAGAGGGTATAGGCAACTAAGGGAACCCAAAACAGCCAAGTCCATAGGTAAGATTTGTCTTCTACATAAGGCCATGAAAATCTGTTAGAAGTTCCTTCAGGATGCATGGCTTCAAAGGTTGCAGGATTCCACCAACGAATTGTGAAAAAAACTATTCCTGAAAGCAGAAATGATTATATTAGGAAATGTATCAAGAAATTTGGACTTACTAGAAAGAAAGATAAGCTTGGCCTCTCTTTCTAAAGAGCCTTGACCACCAAAATGTAATGGGAGTCTTTTCCAGAAACACTTGCTCCATAATTAGCGCAACACCTACCTGCCACATATTAAATTCCCTGAATTTGCCACTTACATAGCCATCAAAGCTACAAACTGTCTACGCTTTTCACAGGTTGAGTGGGATTTCCTCGGACCACCAGCAAGGAATAATGATCCAGCTGGGGTTTATGGTTTCACAATCTACATGAAACTAAGTTGATGGAATGTCTTTCAACCTCTACAGAAAAACTGATGCTATCTCCAATTATTTTTCTTCAAAGATGTGCATAAACATGACCAACTATAAAAGCTGCCATATGCTTTGCTTTTGAAGTGTGATATACTAGAATTCACATTTGTGTACAGCAATAGTCTAGCTCTGATAACAGATATGAAAAATCAAATTATCGAAACAGGCATAAACAAACTATGAATTAGAAAAAGCTCTTTTACTCCTTGTTAAACAACATACTATGAAAATTTTACCACAGGGCATGTCCTAGCAACGGAAAAATTCCAGGTACTTGGCATCTCAGCTTTCTTGAACGTCCTTTGAAAGTTGTGCATTGATGCCATAGAGGCAGTCCCCTCTATTTAGAATCAGAAGATCAAGGTGAATCTTTACTACTTTTGGAGATTCTAGTTTGAGCAAGTAAAACTCATTGAGTGGGCAGAACCAGTCAAGGAATATTTGATGATAATCAACGGTAAGTAGAATTGCTATTGAGGAGGATATATACCGAAAAAAAAAAAAAAGAATCTGGGTAGTTGGAAAAATTTAACTGTGTCTTCCTATGTCCTACAGAAGAAATTAATCCAGATAATACATAAAAATAGGCACATTCCATTAAGATCATAAATGAACATATTAGGTGGAAATTTTAAGCTGTTTTTAGGAGCATGGTAAGTTTATGTAACCTGTCAGCAATTTATAGTGCAATAAACCTTAGCTATTGGTATCTTTCACATAGGAAAGCAGATATTTGCATATTGAATGTTTAACAGCCTTGAAATCCAACTTACTCCCCACCCCCCACCCCCTTCCCTTTGGAAAGAAGAGGATAACAATAGCTACCAACTTCTTGTATCTAAAATGCTTTATAAAGATAGCAAGTGCAAATAAGGATTGCAAACATACCAGGTAAAAGATGTATAAGGACACTAATAATTTTGTCCACAGAACTAAATACCAAGCTACAACGCCAAACAATAAGTGCCCATGCTAGTGGCCCCTGCAGTAGCATCCAAAAGGATGAAGAAGCTAAAATGAATCATCCACCAATTGAGGTGTATGAAAGAAACCAAGTGCTATATTCTTACCTCAGCAAATGAGAAGCAAACCATGAAAAGCTTTTCGTTCCTTGGATATAGAAGAAGGTCAACCAAGAAGATTGTGTTTGCATAATAGCAGAAATCCTGACACAGAAATGCATAACCTTCATCAATTTTTGATAAGATTTTGATAAATTTCTCAATAACAAGACCAAATTGCATAGTGATAGAACTAACCAGAAGATAGTAATGCCATTTCTTAAAGCGGTAGTAGATCCATCGAAGAGGAACAAAGGTGACATAGAACAAACAATATACGTAAGGAATATCTTGTGGTCCTGAAACCAAAATTCAAAAAATCAAAAACAAAACAAAGAGCAAACACATTAATTGGTTCCAGAGCCAACATTTTTGTAACCAATTCCATCAATTCAAGGCTAAGTTTACTCACTTGCTCCCAAGAGAAAGCAAAACCCTCCGAACCCGAGAACCCCCAAAAGATGTGTCACCTAAAGATCAAAAACCAAAACGAAATTCCACAATTGTGACATGAGAGTCCACGTTCTTAATGATAAACTGCAATTAAATACACATAAATCAACGAAAGAACATTGAAAAGATTACCTTGTTGATAAAGCGTTCGTGTTCTTCAGCTTGTTTAGCGATCTTAACAGCCTGTTTCGACAACATCTCCTTCGTTTGAACCGCTTGTTTAGACAACATCTCCTTCGTTTTCGCCACTTTCTGCACCAAAAACCAAGCATGACCCACATCGTAAAATAAATTTAAAAAATGCTAAAAATACAAACTTTGATACAAAATGACTCAAAAAAGAAGAAGAAAAATCATTGGGTTTCAACAATTATACCTCAGCTCGATCCTTGAACCTCTGTTTCACCGTCCCAGGTGAATATCCATTCACGTTCATGTCCTCCCCGAATTCGTCGCTGCCCGACATTTTTTCTCGCTTTTGGTTGCTTTTTGAAATCAAATCAAATCAGATGAGTAGATGACAGAAGAAACAAGACGAAGAGAAAAAGGTGGGGTGGCTGTCGTGTATATACAAGGAGACGCAGGCTAATCTGATTTATACGTTCCATTCTAATCCAGATGATTAAGCTTTATTAATAATAGTAAGTAATTTCCTCATTGGTAATTAGAGAATAGGAGATAAATAAGTGACCACTCGGATCGAATTATTACATATATATTTTTATTAATTTTATGTCTTTTTCTAATTTTGATTAAATTAACAGCATTGACCAACCCAAATTATAATCTTTCACGAAATCATTGTCTCCTGTTATTTGGTTGATAATTTGCTTTTTCGTTGATGCTTTTGTTTTTTTGTTTTTTTTAGCTTAATTTTATTTTTTTTATAAATATAATAATTTTATTGAGTATATTTAAAATTAAATATATAATTAAATTGGATGATGAATTAATATTAAAGAATAATCAATTTTGATATCTGAAATTAATTATTTAGAGTGATATTAAGATAAAAATAAATGTCAAATATAAAATTTAAGCAGCATGAGCAAAATGATGAAGTACGTTGAATATGTTGTGTGATTGTAATATGATTTTAAAGTTAAAAGTAAAATTATATAAAATAATTGTAAAACTTGTATTATTTTATTAAATTAAATATTGAACTGTTAAGAAACAACATGAGAATAAAATTAACATAATATAAATAAAGATACTTAGATGGATATATAATAGGAGTATAAGTGATAAAATAAAAAATGAAGAGATTCAAAAAACGTTAAGGGTAGTTCAAATTGAAAAAAAGATGAGAGAATATCATTTATGATAATTTGGATATATGAAATGCAGACCTAATTATATACTGATTAAGAGAATTGATTATTTAAATTTAAAAAAGATCAAAACATCTAGAGATATATCACAAAATATATAAATATAAGTAATAAAAAATAATATGATGGTTAAAAAATTAAATAAAAATGTTGTTGTTGATAAAAAAAGATTCAAATTACAATTTAATATGATTATCTTATTTGATTTTTCATATAATTAATCTTAAAATATAGGATATAAGGTTTAATGTGTTGATGTTATTTTTATTCGTTAAAATAATAAATTTGTTTAAAAAATGAAATTATAAAGTTAATGTGCAACAAAATAAATTAGTGTAATTTATAATTTTTGATATTTCATTTTTTGACATAAAAATTTATTTATATTGATGTCTAAAAAGTATTGAATGGTAAAACTTATATCAGACAATTTTTAATAAATTATTATTGAATAAAAACAAATTATTTATTATTTTTTTCTCACTTTTATGTTAAAAATAAAAAACAAAATCTTATGCTAATTAAATTGAGCTTTGTTTTGCTAATGCATTAAGCATTGCATGAAAAATATACTAAAACCATTTTTTTGGGCCAAAACACTAAAACCATTTGATCACTCAGTTTTAAAAATTTGAATTTAGTAATTAATTAGACATAATATTTAATTTCGCAACTATGGATACCATGCTTAATTAAGTAATTTTTATTTCCAGTGTATAAACTATAGGACAAGATTCCTATTCACATTCCATAGGGTAATGAAAAATGGTGACGTGGAGCTTTTTTTTTGGATTGTCGTGAATGGCGTGTTCGTGACAGCTGTCCGAAAATTATTGGGTGAGTGATGCAATATGGATCGACCCGTCTGTTGTAGAAAGTTCTTGGGAGATAATTCTGGTTTGCTGTCGGCCTTTGGTTAGCCTTATCTTCCTAAATAGCCACGTGGAAAAATGATATGAAACAGATCCTTCGTCGATTTCCCACGTGGCAGACGGAGATTGATCATTCGGGTCAAACCCAAAATAGTCCCCGATGGAGAAGAACATTCCCTTCCCGCGCCGGGAGGAGCGTGGACCGGGCGCATTTAAGAACTGCAAAGATACGATTTTTTTTTCTTTGGCAAATACGAATTTCACATTTTCCAATCTTGCTATTGAAAAGGCCTATTCATGAATCATGAACTATGATCAATAAAAGTTTTTTTTTTTTTTTTATCGAATCTAAAATTTATTCCAAGTTTGCTTTCGCTTCTAAAACTTTGAAGTTTTCTCGCGTGATTCTCAAGGGAGGGAAAAGGGCTTATCCCAAAACAACTTTTAAAACTTTTTAATAGCATGCAATATTATTATTCAATTTTTTAATTATGACAATGCAAATCAAGATTATTTCGTGGGTCTTTGACATAAGAAAAGCTTGCTAGGAATGTGAGAGCGTTGGTTTCTTGTCTTTTCTGACTAAAGGGGGTTGCTTCATCATGTTAGTTACATGCAAGTAAAGTATTTCCGTCGTGACCAAATTGCTCAATCGGACAGCTAAGCATGCCACTACAATATCATCAATAGGAGCAATATATTTTTTACGGTTCATTCAAGATTTTTAAAAATAAATAGCAAATCAATCAAAATATCTAAAAAATAAATAATTTATTGAATAATATACTGTTTTAATTCATAATCAATTGTTTAGCTACCGTCAACATGTAACAATAACAATTATACTTATAAGTATAGTCAAAGTTATGGGATTTGTATAGAAATCAAATCTTTAAATGATTATTTATTTAAATAATAATTTAAACGTACGATATTGATAATTAATTAATGTTTATAATAAATTGGTAGCTTCATTTTTTCCTTGCAATTTAAGATTTCTTGTCGTACGCTAACACTATGGTTGAGCAGTGACCAATGTATAATCCGTCAACCTAAGTTAAAGAAAAGTAAATCCAAATATATCCAAATGTAAAATCATTTATTAATGCAAAAATAGAAAGAGAGGGGTGAATTTGAAAATATGGAAAATGTACAGCCATGCAGACAAATTTTATACAAAAATAAGGTTCTACCAACATGTATAAAGATAATTATAAATATAATCAGATATATAATGTGTCTTCTCCTAGTTGGTTTGAATGTTAGAATTGAGAAAAGGCAGCGGCAATTCAGGAACAAAGGGGACAGCGACCCGCCGAGACAAGCGCGGCTCAATAGTCTCAGCCGCTTTAACTCGCTTCTTGTAAGAATTCAAAATCTCCGCCTTATTCTATACGTCTCCTATGTTTTTACGTTTTTTTTTTTTTCATGTGATTTTTATATATGTTTTTGTTGAATCGAAAGAATTTTTGAAATTTTGGATAGGCAAAAGGCCAAAGGGAGACTATTTATTCAACTGGCTAAAACAGGGCTTCTGATGGGGAAATTTTGGTCGCTGGAAAGCTCAATTTGGTAATGTCATTTAATTTAATTTCTGGGTTTTTACTTAATTCATTTATTTATTTGTGTGTTTTGTTAGATTTAATTTGTTTAATGGATTGTTTCTGGTATTGCTTAATTTGATTATTATTATTATTATTTATTTTATATATAAAAGAAGATGATGTTGTCCAAAGTTGAGGCTAGGAAGAAGAATGGTGAAGATTCGGGTAATGGGAAGTTGCTGAATGAAATTGAAGCTATTAACAAAGCATTGTATTTGGATAAGAACGCTTCAAGGACTTCATTTTCTGCTTTTAATAGTCGGTCCAATCCAGCCGGGAAAACCCACCTACCTGAACCAAAACTGAAGCATAAGAATGGTAATGAGGACCCATCATGTAAAGAAAAGAAATCCATTTGGAATTGGAAGCCGTTGAAAGCATTTTCAAATGTTAGAAACCGTAGATTTGATTGTTGTTTCTCACTTCAAGTACACTCCATTGAAGGTTTACCAGCAAGTTTTAAGGATCTTAGTCTATGTGTGCATTGGAAGAGGCGGGATGGGGGTCTAATAACCCATCCTGCTAAAGTTTTTGATGGAACTGCTGAATTTGAAGAGAAGTTGACGCATACATGCTCGGTATATGGTAGTAGAAGTGGACCTCATCATTCAGCCAAGTATGAGGCCAAGCATTTCCTGTTCTATGCTTCTGTGTTTGGAGCACCAGATGTTGATTTGGGGAGGCATCGAGTTGACCTTACACGGCTGCTTCCACTTACATTGGAGGAATTGGAGGAAGAGAAGAGCTCAGGGAAGTGGACAACAAGTTTTAAGTTATCTGGGAAGGCCAAGGGTGCTACAATCAATGTTAGTTTTGGGTATATGGTTATTGGGGATAATCCCAATGCACCTGGAGATAATCAGTATGGCTCTGAGTTGTCACATATGAAGCAGAATAATCTGAATATGGGAAAAGCAGCTACTGAATTTGGTCATGGAGATCAGACGGGCACAATGAGGCGTGTTGAGAGTCTTCCCAGTTTGGATAATCTCAGATCTTTTGGCTCATCTCATCTTGTGGAGGAAATAAAAGATCTTCATGAAGTTTTACCACTGTCAAAGTCAGAGCTTGATGATACAAATATGCTAGATCAGAAACTTGATGAAGACAAGTCAGATGCTTCAGCTGCTTCTAAGCCTGAACCTGATGTGTTAACTGAACAGTTTGAGGCCATCACGCCTCCATCTTACTTTGTATCTGAATCAAGTAAGGAGAATATTGAAAAAGAAACAGAAGATAATGAATTCTCTGTTGTGGAAAAAGGCATAGAGTTATCTTCAGAAGAGCAGGCTAGGCCGGAGGAAATTTCCATCATGGGTGCTATATTGACAGTAGAAAGCCCTCAAGTTGTTGAAACCAATCATTGCATTGGAGTGAACTGTGAAGAATGCTCTCAGCTTCATCCCTCAAATGAGGAGAGTAGCAGCAATAAGAGAGACATGCTTTTGGTGCAAGATTGCAATTCTGAAGAGGATGACCAGTGCTCAAAAGAATCACTGATGAGAGAATTGGAGTTAGCTTTAGATGGCATCACAAATTTGGAGGCAGCATTAGATTCTCCTGATCCTGAAAACCCTGAAGACTACATGGAGAATAAAGCTAATTATAAAACAAATAGGAAGGCAAAGTCACTTAGCTTGGATGAAGTTACTGAATCTGTGGCAAGTGAGTTCTTGAATATGATTGGTATTGATCACAGTCCATTTGGCTTGAGTTCTGAGAGTGAGCCTGAGTCACCAAGGGAGCGCTTACTTAGGCAATTTGAGAAAGATACACTAGCCAATGGTTTTTCGTTATTTAATTTTGACATGGCTGATGGGGAGGAACTAGAATGTGGCTTAGACACCTCAACTCCATCTGGTTGGGCTAACTTAACTGATGATCTGCCATGTTTTATTCAAGATGGTGAACAAGAGCATCAGATGGAAACTAATGTGAGGAGAAAAATGAGGGCAAAAGTGTTGGAAGACTTGGAGACAGAAGCTCTAATGCGTGAGTGGGGATTGAATGAGAAAGCTTTTCTGCGTTCTCCATCTAGCTCATCTGGTGCGTTTGGGAGTCCAGTTCATTTGCCTTCTGAAGAGCCTCTTGAATTACCTCCACTTGGAGAAGGTTTAGGTCCATTTCTTCAGACAAAGAATGGAGGGTTTTTGCGGTCTATGAATCCCTCACTTTTCAGTAATGCTAAAAGTGGCGGGAGCCTGATCATGCAGGTGTCTAGTCCAGTTGTGGTACCAGCAGAAATGGGTTCTGGTATAATGGATATACTTCAGCAACTGGCCTCAGTTGGGATTGAAAAGCTATCTATGCAGGCAAATAAATTGATGCCTTTGGAGGATATAACGGGTAAGACCATGCAACAAGTAGCATGGGAAGCTGCCCCCACTCTGGAGGAGCCAGATAGGTTCGTGACTCCACTTTTCTTTTGTTTCCCAAATATATTTCTTTCTTAAACATTGCATGCCAAATCATACTGGTATTGTGTTTTATTGCTTCTTCCATGCAGGCAGTGTTTGTTGCAGCATGAGTTTGACGTTGGGCAAGATAGGTCTAGTGGGCAAAAGAAAGTTAAAAGAATAACACCTCTGCCCAACTCTAACCAATGTAGTTCAACCTCTGTCAATGAGATGGGCTTGGATTATGTATCCCTTGAAGATCTTGCTCCATTAGCAATGCATAAGATTGAAGCACTCTCAATGGAAGGCTTGAGAATTCAATCTGGCATGTCAGATGAGGATGCACCTGCAAACGTCAGTGCACTGTCTATCGGGGAATTTTCGGCCCTTCAAGGCAAGGGGTTTGGTATTAGTGGGTCCCTTGGTCTGGAGGGTTCTGCTGGGTTGCAATTGTTGGACATAAAAGACAGTGGTGATGATGTTGATGGATTAATGGGTCTGTCACTGACTCTTGATGAATGGATCAGGCTTGATTCTGGTGATATTGATGATGAAGATCAAATAAGCGAGCGAACTTCTAAAATCCTTGCTGCTCATCACGCTACATCATTAGACTTGATTCGCAGAGGGTCAAAGGGAGAAAAAAGGCGGGGTAAAAAGTGTGGTTTGTTAGGGAATAACTTCACAGTATCATTGATGGTGCAACTTAGGGATCCTATAAGAAACTATGAGCCAGTTGGTGCACCAATGCTTGCACTTATTCAAGTGGAGAGAGTATTTGTGCCACCAAAGCCAAAGATATATTGTACGGTTTCATCTTTGAGGAATGGCAATCAAGAGGATGATGACTCTGAGTCCGCTGTCACAGAGGAGGTGAAAAAGGAGGAGTTAAAAGAAGAAAAAGCTTCCCAAGAGGAAGGGATTCCTCAATTCAGAATCACAGAAGTCCATGTTGCAGGCTTGAAGACTGAGCCTGGCAAGAAGAAACTTTGGGGTAGCACGACTCAACAACAGTCTGCTTCTCGATGGTTGCTTGCCAATGGAATGGGAAAGAGCAATAAACATCCATTATTGAAGTCCAAGGCCGCTTCTAAATCTTCAACCCCTTCAACAACAAAGGTTCAGCCAGGTGATACTTTGTGGAGCATCTCATCTCGTGTTCATGGTACTGGAGTTAAATGGAAAGAATTGGCAGCCCTCAATCCACATATTCGAAATCCTAATGTTATATTACCCAATGAAACTATCAGGTTGCGATGAGTTGCGCATGCATTGGAATCTGCTTGAAATGATTAAGCTCCTAAATAAGATGGCGTGGCTGATGGGGAGCCACAGTATACAGCTTTGAGATTAAACAGGGTTGATGGGTTCTGCTTGTGGAGATTTTATTGTATTTATTTTGAATGTATTCATTCATTCGGTTCAAGTCAACAGCAAAGGTGGGGTTACGTTTTCGTTTTGGTCTTGTAAAATTTGTTTTTGTGATCAAGAGTGCATGGTGTAATTGATGTGTCCTAGTGCTATTGTGTTTTTTCTCATTAGGAAGGAGGCCCTTTTGGCCCGATTATAATTTATAAAATGGGAAGTTGGGTGGAAACTCCTTTCAAGTCTCAACAAATCAGATACAAAATACAGTAAATAAATTAGAATATTCCCAAAGTTCTTATTCTAACTTCGTAGATACTAACATGAAGCAAAGGTACATATTCCCAAAGTTGCAAACATGAAGAAACAGAAATATAAGAGGTTAAACACCCGAAAGAAAAAAAAAAGAAGAAGACATAGAAGAGGTTACAATATAAATGTGATTACGGTGAACCAGTTGGTAATTTCCAATTAGTTAAGCACCTCATCAGAACAGCTCCCAGTTTTCCTTCATTGATGGCCTCATGAACCTTCTCTATATCCTCTCCTGGACTCACCTTCTTTTCACCACTAAGAAGCTCAGTTCCAACTTCAGTCCTTACAAATTCATATAGAGGATAAGTCCTGCATTTCTTGATCCTATTAGCCATAGCAAATTCTCCATTACCAAATCTTATTCTTGTTTTTGGTAACTCTTCTTCCAGTCTTGCCATAAATTCCTCCAAGAATACTGGAATCCTTTTGAACACTGAAAAACCATTTTCTTCGCCTTTACGATCCTTGAGTGCCCTTTCAACAAGTACTTCTCGCAGTTTAGGCAGAAGGGCATAAGAAGGATTCATGGGGTCATCAAGATAGGAAAAAACTGGTTGGTGCTCGATAACCTGCAAGAGTTCTTTCTCACAGAAACGTGATTCAAGAAGTGATCCATCTTCTGCAATGTAAAGTGTTTTCCTTACTGCCTGGAGAAGGACTTGTTTCACTACTTCTCTCATGTTTTCCTCCAAATGTCTCAAATCAATAGCCTGGCAAAGGGCCACCATAAACGTTGAGGACATGAGCTTTAGGATTTCAATAGCTTCTGCACTTTTTCTAGCTGAAATCAGGCCAAGAGAGTTCACGTCTTGGTTGTGTTGTTCGGCACTTTGTACGTGCGTTGTAACCGGATTTGCAAGGAATTGGAGCTCAGAGCAATATGAAGCCATGGCTATCTCTGCACCTTTGAATCCATAGTCTAAGCTTGGATTAGAGCCGCCACTCAAATTGGAGGGCAAACCATTGTTGTAGTAATCGCAAACAAGTTCAGAGAATTGAGCAAACATGAGCTTTCCAATTGCTGCAATGGCAATTCGGAGGTTGTCCATGGAGACACCGATCGGAGTCCCCTGGAAATTCCCTCCATGGAGAGCAAGGTCCCGAGCTACATCAATCAATGGATTATCATTCACAGAATTGATTTCCCTCTCGATTGAATGTGTTGCCTGGCGAATAACTTCAATTTGTGGTCCAAGCCACTGAGGAGAGGTTCTAATTGCATATCTGTCTTGTTTAGGCTTTGTAAGAGGGTCTTTCTCATGCCGAAGTTTTGCTTCTTTCATGTAGTCACTTTCATCCAACAGAAACTTCATGATAGCAGCTGACTCAATCTGGCCAGGATGGTGCTTGAGCTCATGAGTAAGGGGGTCGGTGAACTCAGGCTTGCCATGCATAACTTCACAGAACAAAGCAGAGAGAATCACTGAGAGGAGAGCCACAATGTTGGCATCGAAACAAACTGTTGCAGCAACAGCTGAACCAACAGCTGTTCCATTAACAAGAGCTAAACCTTCCTTTGCCTGTAGCTCAAAAGGAGCACCAATTCCAGCTCTCTTCAATGCTTCTACACCTTTGATCTCTTCACCTTCAGGGGTAACAACCTTGGAATTGTGTCTGCCAGTTAACAACCCGGCAATATAAGATAATGGCACAAGATCACCAGATGCAGTGATAGTTCCTCTTAGAGGCAGTTTTGGGATCAAATTTTCATTCATAAGTTTAGCCATCGCTTCAAGTATCTCCCAACGGATGCCAGAATAGCCTTGCATAAGCGTGTTTGCACGCACAAGCATAGCTGCCTTGGAATAACTCAATGGAAGACTCTCCTTCCCGATCACTCCCGCATTCAGGAACCTTATAAGCTCCGCTTGGAGGTCAGAAGTTTTAGTGGTGCGTCGATGGGATGTAGCACCGAAACCAGTGGTGACTCCATAAGTGTCTGTGCCACGAGAAATGTTCTCAGCAACCCAGTTAGCACTCTTTGCCACCCTATCACGAGCAGTGGCCTCATCAAGTTCAACCATTACTTCATTTCGACGCGAAATGGCAGTGACATGAGCCACCGTAAGGGTGGTGCCTTGGATTTCAACAGTTTGAGCTTGTGCAAATTGCGACACCATTTGATGAACTTCGTCAAAATGGGAGCATTGGAGGGCATCAGCAGCCTTCTTCCAGTGTGATTGAGTTGAGACACAGCAACCATTTTCTGAAACAAGGACCTGCTCGTTAGGAAGGCCAAATTGAGCAGTTGCCATTGTGAGAAAACAAAGAATAAAATTTGCAGTGGAAAAGTAGGAGAGAAAGGGTACGTGAAGAATTTAAGAATGAGATAAGGTTTTGAACTATGAAGTGGTGAGTTTGAGAGGGAAGCAACGGGTGACTATTTATAGTAGTGAGTGGAGTGAGAGGTTAAGTGGGAAAGGGCTGCGTTCATGGTCAAGTCCTTCTAAATTAAGTGAGCCACCCATATCCACATGTATGGTCACATGGCAATTACATGGAAAGTGAGTGGAAGTTAATGAGGCTTTTCTTGTGAAGAGAATACTACTAGTTTGTAGTGGAATAGAAAAGGTGATTAAGGGGAGAGGAAAGGTTAAAAAGGAAAATTTTGGTCAAACATTTTTGGAATTATTTTCCTTGATGTAAAAGGAGAAGTGAAAAGTAACAGGAAAATGTTTTGAAGAAAGGGGAAAAATTGTTTTATAAGTTTCTTTTTCTCCTCCAACTTATCCACAGATTTAGTAGATTTGAACGGAAAACATCCATCTCTTCTGTCCTTTCCTATATTTTTTCCATTTTTTTCTCTGCCACAGGAAGGCATTCTTTCAGTCTCTCCATTAATTTTCTATGGAAAAACATGAAGGGATTTGAAAGAAAACTTTGTAATTAATAATCTGTGGAAAATTGACCATTGACCCCGTGGAAAATGCCACTAATATGTTACGGACAGCTTTTCTTCAGCCGTCGTATGATATCATGGGACAAACCAACAACCCCCCATGCGAGACATGGCTACGAAATACGAACCACAGATGAAGTACTTCATTTCAGACTTATACCAACCATTAACAAACATTTTCTTGTCCTTTAGGAAAACCATCGAAAAGGTGACTCAAGACGGTGTTGGTTAGGATCCCTATTATGACCTGATTCAGTTCTCTTCCTATATCAATCGCTGTGTGGAAGAATAAAATTTAGGTTCAAAATTTGCCAAGCCCAAAAGAACAGTGGAAAGAGGTATGAAACTACTAACGATTAATGGACTTCAGTCAAACATCTAGAAGCAGACCCTATCAATTAAAGTAAGAATACACACATTCTATGCCGTACATAGCCAACAAAAAGTAAGCGATTAACCCATCAGCTGAGAATGAATTAGAACAATCTTCACTCAACAGGGAAAGAGATTTCCTACAAGGGAAATACTATACATCCCAATTCTGGCATCAAATAGAATACAAGTGCAGGACTGAAAAACTACCGATACTAATATATCCAACTGAAAGTCACTGAGAAAAGCACTTGATACATTCGCTGGCCAACTTGGCCCGAAAAGAGAAACCTAACCAACTAAACAGTCAGCTGCCAAGAGCATGGGAGAATTACAGGGGGTGAAAACTCAGCATCTCCTTAATGTCAAGGTCGTGCTCTCTTGTTGCTGCAAGAAGGGCACTTGTATTGCTTGATGTGCTCAGCTCTGGCAGGGGTAATCTTTACACATTTGCCATGAAACCACTTTTCACATATGTCACAACAAATCCAGAACTCATCTGATGCATAGTTCTCTCCACATGCACCACACAAGGTTTCCCCATGCTCCTCTTCATCTTCATCTTCCTCGTCCAATCCCTCTTCCTCATCCTTTGCTGGCATGCTCTTTGAGAATTTAGCAGATTCAGACACTCTCTGTATTTATATCCATTGCCGAATTAAAACAGAGGAAGTAATCGGGCACACCATAGCACATAAATGGAGACAAACATATTCAACACTGAATCAATTAAAAGAATTGCACATCCAATTGATACTAAATAGATAGTTTTCCCTTGGCTTAGCACATTACCCATGTACCCAAATTAAAAAGTCAGTTACTTCTCTTGGGCATAATGTGTTTACCACCCCAAAAAGGAAATCTGAACAAGGCTAAAATAAAACCATAGCTGGTGATGAGAATTCAGCTTCAAGAATCATAATGTATGCAACAACAAAAGATGATGAAACATTGTGTAGATAGAGCCCAAAAAAGCCACTACAGAAGAAATGTGCCCCAAAACAGCCTTGACAGAGTGAATAAGTCTGCGTTAGGGATAATTGAAAGAAGATTATATGTCATAATTAGCTTTAAAATTAAAAAATTTTGGTTTTTGAGAATGTTCAGCCAAATTTGGACCAAGGGAAAAGGGAAAGTCCAGCTAACAATACATCAAGCGACAGAACAATGAAGTTCTAGATATCCCAATTAGCTACGATTAACCAATATCCATAATTTACTTAAGCCAACAGATATCCTTAAGCATTAATGTCCCACTTACAACTTTTGCGTTTGACATTGATTTGTTGCTGCTATGATTTGACGACTTCTCCTTTGCCTGCTTCCTGGCACTTCCAGTGACAATTTCAAATATTGTAGGGAGATCATTTATCATAGTGAAGAGACGTTTCCTACATCAAAGATTGCATATGTTTGCAAATAAGTCCTTCAACCACCATTACAATAAGAATATCCAACAAATTGATATACACGACAAAAATGACAACCTTCTTCCTTATAATGAAAAAATCCATTAAATCTTGTTTTTAATTTCTTTATATAAGAAATATTATATGTAGTAAATTCACTCAATTTCTAGACATCTGTCTCCAAGCTTCATGTCCAGCATTAACTCACAGGTTCTTGACCATTCATCTAAAGAGGTGATCCTGTAGAACCAGGGTCAAAGATGAGACATGACGACACAACAAGAAAGATGAGAATGATGTAATGGCTACATGAAATTTTTGTCACATGCATATTTCCTAGTATCATTACTTCTTCTAACAGCTAAGCTTAGAGTTACAGTAAAGTTTACTATGTATGCTGTCCACCTATTACCCCCCCACCCCACCTCATATGTTACTCAATATGGAAAAAAATTGCAACATGATACAGCAGCTAAGGGAAAAAAAATTATACCTGTCAGCTTTATCAAAACCAAACCTAGAACCAAAATAGAAAGCCACTGCTAGTAACCATGCATCGCTGTGAACAGCAACAAGTGACAACCAGTCCTTTTCTTGCATCCCATCTCTGGCAAAGTTAATACCTAATGCAGGCTCAGGGAGCTCTGGAGGCACTTCCTCAGCAGGTAAGTTAACTTCCCACTGCTCATTAGGAAATCCATACAAGCAAAGATTCTCCTTCTCTGGAAAACATAATGTTGGTCAAACAAAATTCCAAGTAGAAATAATAGAGAAACAGAGTATTGTATCCATTCTTAAATAGGTTTGGCAAACTACTTACAACATAATACCAAACAAGAAACAAGCCATCAACAATGGACAATAATTAATTATTAACGTACATATATTACCAAATTACTACAAGCCATATCAGCCAGAGAAACAAGTTACATATTACTATCAAGGCACCGGAAAGGCAAGGGTCTAGATAACCAGCAAATGGAATATTCATACTAACCATGCTTTGGAGATTGAGAGACTTATAGTACAAAACCATGTTTCAATCAAAATCAAAGAAAGTGGTGGAAAATACTAGGCAAGAAACCAGGTAAAACGCAAAATTCATTCAAATTCCTCAAAAACTAGTAAAAAGTTCAAAATATGAATCAGAGCATTAAAACTTAACACTTAAAAATAATTATCCAGAGATAAACCCACTCGAAGAAAATAAGTTGCCACAAGCATATCACATGTTTTGACAATTGATCTATTTACTTCATTGTCAACTAACCAAAGTATCTATGTAAATGTACTAAAATACAGCATTGCCTTGTGAAAGAGCAAGCGACAGATAACTTACGAATTCTGGAATGCTATACCCACAATAGGAAAGGAAAGAAATTGATTTGAGCTATATATTAAGTATTTCGTCCAGGAATCATAACGTAACGACTCAAATTTTGAATGTGCGATTTTTTAAAGAATAGAAAGCAAAATTAAGAAAGTAAAGAGAGAGAGAAATCCTAACCAGGATCGCACTGTTCACGAAATTCTAAAACATCTGCGACAAAAAAAATTGAAAATTAGAATGAGAAAAAAGCTATAAACAAAAAGTAACCCTAAAAAAGCTCAAAAGGCACTATTCGGTTCGTACTATTAACAAATTAGAGAAAACCAAAAAAAGAGAGAAGAGAGACCCGTGGTTAAGGCTTTGATCATGGCGGCACGACGGCCTTTGAAATCCCTAAAGACCTCCTCTACTGTTCTAAGGTTGTACTGCGTTGCTCCGTCCATTTTCCGTACACTTCACTCCACTGAGAAAAAAGGAAACGAATAGATGGGAGGAGCACAAGGAAAGAAAAAGTGAGGTGAACGGAGAGGAAATAAAAAGAAGAGGAATAAAATCGGAAATGTACAGTGGTTGGATTAAATACCAAAAATCCAATCAGAAGAAGTGACACGGTAGAAGTATACCACTAGCAGTAGCAGAAGTAATAGTAGCAGGATAGGGAGAGATTTTGGGATGATGCCTAGGTCTGACATGGATGATAGGGACAGTATAATCCACGTGGCGTATAAGGTTTGGTTGAAAACTTGCCTCGTAAAGGGAATTAGTGGGTATATTTGCGGATTTGAAACCCATCTCGAAACTCGAGTTTTAGGTAAGGTTAGGGTTCCGAAGGATATGCCACGGCCCGAGCAGTGACGCACCAGCAGCTTCGTTTTAGCCTCTGAATTGCTGCGTCTCGCCGTCCCCCATTTTCCCGATTGCGAGGAGCAAAGAAGCATAGGAAATTTTGTTACGCGTTCAACTTCGAAGCAGCAAGGCCGTAGGCCGCTAGGCCGGACTTGTTTGAACTTAATCTTAGACGGGTTAAAAAAATAAATGGCATTCTTTGTTGATTCAGTTTTAATGTCAATTCATATATTAAGGTCTACCTCTGATGTTTTTTCCAAATGAATTGAACCTTGATCTCTATTCGTATGACTTTATTATGCATATCTTATGAAAGTGAAAGAGGTTCAAAACTACCATTAAGAAATTAGAAAAAACCCAAAATTGTCAAACAAATGCTGAAACACCTACCGTCCATAGAAAAATAGAGAGATACAAAGAGTACAGCATATCAGCAACAACCATTCATCTGCAATTTTTTTCAAGTCTACAAGGAAACCAGTCAGAATTAATTGGCGTGTTTGTCAAAAGTCATACGGTACACTAAAGGGAATTCGCGTTCTTTCCTTTATCCTTTTGATCAGCTTATGTTTGACAGTTTTTGTATGCCAGTAAAAAATCTTGGAGAGAATGATCAAGCACGGCTGCATGTTGTAGAGAGCTTCTAATAGCTGCAGCTTCAGAAGATAGGCACAAAGATCCAGGGTGTGAGCCAAAGGATAAAATCTCAAAAGTTTACGTGCCAGCCAGTCACCTCTTCTCGAAATCTGAAAGTAGCATCAGGCACTCTATCAACCAGAGAAAATAGGGGCGAGGGGAAGGGGGCACAAAAAGGAAAGAAATAAGTAGTTACATACTATTGGCGGTTGCAGCTACTTTGCAAGTAAGAAAACGTAATGAGAGTGAGAGAAAGAGAACAGTGAGCATAAAGCACAGTTTGATAGGTTTGTTATTCTCTGGCACAAAAATGGAAATACTTATTGCCTTTTTGAATCAGTGATCATGACTGTCCACCCAGATGGACTTTGGAATAGGCCTGATGATGTTTCGGCTAATTTATGCCAAGCCTAGGTTGGTTCGTTCTAAGTTGGGCTTTTCCCTCCACATGCAACAGAAAAAATGGCATTTGAAGATTTGGTGCAAAAATCTTTCCGTTTAATATTCTAGTTGAATATAATATTAAACAATGTAGCCTTAGTGTCATGACATTAGAAGCTTCAAACAGTAATATATTCTTCCAGACTATAAAACAATATGCAGAAGTAGGTTGCATACAAGGTGCTGCTAGGTTTGGGGCAAAAGCAGCTATTAGGAAAACAAAGTTAAAATGCCAAACATCAATTTGAACTTAAGCATGGAAATTTGTAAAGCAAGAGATGGGCAAAAATCCAGAGGCCAAAAACTAATCCTGTCAAATATCACTTAGCGACAACTTCTTTGGGAAAAGGTGAATTACCATGTCCATTATGTGATGATTCATTTTCTCTGCTCTCTGGCACATGCTGTTCAAGAAACTGCCGAATTGTTTCCCAGTAGTGCTCACCACCAGCTAACCAAGTGTCCATGTGCATGCCAGTAGGGAACTGTACAAAGAGGCATTGCCTATTATGAGTTGCTGCTTTCGCATACAGCATTTGCATGTGGGATGGGGGAACCATCTCGTCTTGCAAGCCGGAAAGAAAAAGTACAGGCCGCTTGACCTGCAGATGTTAAGTTCAAATAGCAAAAAATGTATCAAGAAGTGACTAAGAGGGTACACATGCACAATGCACAACAAGCCTCATCAACCTGTCTTCTTAGTTCAAGAAATTGCTAACACACTATGGAAATTAAGAAAAGTTACTTTGCAAGAATGGAAATTGTGTAAATTTCACCACGCTACAAAGCAAAATTTGAACAGGTGCAGAATGCGGATTGTATCTACAAATTATCTTGTAGCTAAACTAAATTTACCTTTTAAGCATTCAATCTACAGCCAATTGGCAATGGATAGATTGTAAGCAGAAGAATAAATCTAAACACCAAACTAAGGAACTCATTTCCTCCATAATTCACTTAGAAAAATCTCATAGAGGGAGCATGCTCAAATTAAAAAACAACTTACATTACATACCAAGGACCAAGTGACAGACTGCTAACAGATATTAAGAGACTTTTCCATCATTTATATGTCAATAATATAGTCTAAAAGAGTCAGGAAGTCAAGTTAAAGTTCTAAACATGTAACTACCTGGCCAATGATGTCAATGGTATTCCATGGTGAACGGACAAGAAAATTAAGAAGTTTAGGACCTTTTGTACCAGGGCCTCCGATAAACCACTTCAGGAAAGGTAATAAAACTCCAGCCATGTCCAGAATAGATGTGAAAGTGTTTTCTAGAATCAGTGCAGCAACCTGAAATTGAAAGGTAAACCAAGAAATGACATACCTAATATGGCCTAAAAAGGATAAGGGTTAGAGCAAAAAGATTGAAACCTTTGCAGGTGAGTCTAGCAAGAAACACGTGATGATTGTAAAAAGTCCCACACAATGATGAACAGTAAAAAGTAGAGCAAACTGATCATATGAGAATGGGAGAAAACCATGCAACATAGAGTAATGGTAATCAACTTGGAAATATAACTGTTCAAATAAATGAAAATAAAGGCGAACTTAGTTGAACAATGATGACACCTTAAAATGAACTAAAATCTCTGTAACACATCTACATTGACCAAAAAAAGCATAGTCTCATTCAATGTGTTATGCTCAAGTGCCTTCCATTTTAGGTCATCAACATTTTACTATTGCTCATACCCACTTAACTGGGTTGTTAATATCATTGCCATTCCATTCCCTATCATGATATAAATGCCCTGCTTCCAAACCACAGACGTTTATTTCATTAGCACATTTCCAGTTCTCCCATCATCCTTCGAAACTGACTTTAAACTGGATCATATTTCTGCAGCTCATGAACATTGATACAAATCTACGGTGCAAACCACAAGTGATCCAACATCTCCAATCAAACCACAAGTTTCACAATTATAATGTGCCAAATATAATTAAAATATTGCCATGTTATTGATTCAGTAATGTTAAGTCATATCATGTTAAAGCAGACAAAATCAAAGTTTAGCCAGGCTACAATCAAACAAGTATAACATGTTCAACCAGTATGTTGCCCGTGTGTCCAGCATGAGTTTGAACCATGTGATTATAATATATTGGCTTCTGATTCTAAACCTCTCTAGTCTCAGGAAGAAAAATACATAAATGAAATAATCACTAGAAGGGTACCTTATCAGGATTGTTTTTGGTGAGTACAGCTCCAACAGCACCCCCAAGTGATCTTCCAAAGACTACTATTCGATCGGTGTCAATATCAGTCCGCTGAGAGAGATGATCCAATGCAGCCTAAATGACAGAAAGGAAAAGAAAGAATTTGCTAAGATTGCTAGTTCTTAAGGTAGTGGCTTTCTGAATCTATAACAGAAGAACTGACAGAGTCACAACCTGAGAATCATTAATAATTCCATGCTGAGAAGGATAACCATCACTTGCTCCATAACTGTTTGATCAATTAGATGTTAAACTTCATTCAGAAGAAGAGTGGTATACTAAGAATAATCAAGGTCACAATGCCAACAACATTACAAAGCTAAAATGGAGAAGCATCACATTAGATATTTAGGACACGCACCCTCGATAAGAAAGCATGAAGACATTACATTGTAACCTCTGTAGCATCATGCGTATCATTTCCAGACGGTGAGCAATATCTGCCGACCAGTGGTCAAGGGTGTCCAGGGACATTGGATGTTACAAAAAGAAAAATATTTTTCCAATTGGATCCGCTAAGATATAACATAAAAATATTATATATATTTATATATATAGTGCAAAAACATTAATCATGATGGAAAGGATACTTCCAGCATTCTCTTGAAAAAACAGGATGGTTGGACCTGCAAAACCAGCATAACTACTTTCTAAGCAGTGAAATGGTTTTGCAATCTTAATCACAAAAGACCAACAATACCATGTGTGACAATGGATCACCAGCCAACATCTTAGTTAATGCTTAAGTTAAAATGATCGTGAATGCTTAGTATGTTGTCGTTTTTATTTTCTTCTAACAACTTGCAACTTTTTCTCCAAAATTTTCGAAGACATGCGACAGCTAAAACCAAGTCCCTAACTCGGAATAAATTGAAACATAAATGATGAGCATTTAAAATAGAAACACACCAGTTTTGCCCTGCATATATCAATCTTATCAAATTAAACCAAGAAATATATACAAAAGTCATAATCAAACCCATCACACTACATCCATCAAACAAATCACATGTCTCCCATAAATTTTCAGCTACTTTTAGATCACAGTCCATACACTTAATCTCAACTATTACTTCCGCTCTCATTTAGTTCAAATATACACACTTAGCATTTAGCATTTTTTTTTTCAATCTTCTTATCTTCAAAGCTCAAACAAATCAAAATCAAGGATAAAAGCTGATTATACAGTCTAATTGTCAAGTGAACATAACATTTCAAACACAAAACAATAATTCAATAAAATGCTACCTAAATGAAAAATCTCAACCTAAAAGTAGCATTCAACCAAACACAGTCTTAAAGCCACCAAAAAACCACTAGCTCCAAAAATTCAAACCAAAGACCAAACACTAATCCCCCAAAAAGGACTACCACAAGCAGAATTATTATAATTCAATTAAAAATGCAACAAAAATGAAATAAAACGCTAAAAAAAGGCGGATCAGGAGTGAGAGTGACCTTGGCAGTCAGGGAAGAGCTTGATGAACCAAGAATGGAGTCGGACTCCATCGGAGGACCGGAGCCAAACGTCCTCGTAGATGAGTCGGAGTCGGGCCGGTGTTATCGGGTAAGACTTTGTTAGACCCGGCAAAACCGGAACGTAAACGAGCTTCTCTTGAAACGCCACCAGCAAAGCCATCCCCGCCACCACAATCCCTCCCACACCGTACAAAAACAAGCTTCCGTAAGACACCATTTTCTTCTTTGCTTTTGGGTTTCTCTTTCCCTGGAGACTATTTTTTATGCGTAGTTTGCTAGTTAGGACAATTTTCCAGACAATTTCGTATGCGTTGGGAGGTGTGATGGGTCCCCTCCCTTACACAAGGACTTGGCCATTTGGGTTTAGGTGAGTTACCATAGACTCTGACTTTTTTTTTTTTAATATTGCAAAATACGTGAGCATGAAGCCAAGGGGTAGGTAATCCAATCCGTCGATTTCGATCTGATTTAATTTTATATGATTAATTTTTTTTTTAAATTAAATTTCAGACCAAATAGAATCGAATAAAATTATAAAAAAAATTTGAGATCCAATTAAATTTAAATTTTAGATAAATCGATTGGATATTATATAAAAATAATTTTTAATTATTTATTTAATTTTTTTATTTATATATATAATTATATATTTAAATATTTTATATTTAAAAAATATTTTATATTTTAAAAAATAATATTTTATTAATTTTTAATCAAATCAAATATAATTTATATAATATCAAATTAAATCAAATATAAATATAAAAAATATAAAAAATTTTAAATCAAATATGAATACGAATTTAATGAATATAAAATTAAATTAAATTTGAAATGAGCAAAACCTTCCCTACACCTACTGTCAATCCTACCAAGATCACATGAAGTTCTTGTTGGATTGGTCATTAATGGGCTATTTTTAATAGTTAACTAGCGAATATATTTTGTTCTTGCATAATTTTATTGGTTATATATATATATATATATATGCATAAAATATTAACAACACCAAATAAAACATTATTTAGTATTCATTCCCTTAAATATCTTTTAGTTGATTCTCTTTAATTTAAAATCTCATTAAATTGTAACTGATTATTTTGTAATTTTCTATTAGTAAATGACATTAAGCTAATTTAATTTCTTTTTTTATATATTTATTTTTTTAACAACATGTAATATTTTATTAAAATTAAAATTTTATTATTTATTAACACCATGTAATATTTTACAAATAAAATAAATTATGAAATTTAAATCTTATGAAATACAAAAGTTTTATTGCAATGATAAGGTAGTTCTAATTTAGGTATTATTATATTACATATAAATAATAAATTTAAATATTAAAATTATTACGACATTATATATTAGATCCATTCATTTAATACAAAAATAAAGTAAGACTCATATATTTATTTAATCTCTGTTTTTAGAGATAATATCAAATCGGATTAAGTTTTTGTTCGCCTAAAATCCAATTTGATTTGATGATTTTTTATGCTCAAATTCAATTGATATGACATTATATAAAATCGTATTCAACTTGATCAAACTTAAAATTAATAAAATATTATTTTTAAAAAATATAAAATATTATTTTTAATATAAATATATAAATAAATTAATTAATTAAAAATAAATTATATATATATATATTCCAAATTGAATCAATGTGGGTTTAACTAAAACTCGATCTCAATTTTATTTTATCATTATTTGATCTGATTCAAAATTTAAATTTCAAACAAAAAAAAAAATTAAGATATCAAGTCAAGTTAAAATCCATCTAAAACAAGTTGAATTGCTATCCCTACTTGTATTTCATTCCTTTTAAAACAAATGAATAAAAGCTAATATGATAATTGAAGACCAAACCTATGATTAATTATATATTAACAAAAACTTATTAATCAAACATGGATAAATGACAAAAATGGAATCCTAATAACAGGTAATATAACCAATGAAACAAAACTAAATGTCATACAAACAATTATTTTACATAGTTGTTTTAAAATATAGTATCGATTTTTTTAGTTTTACTCCAAAAAAATCAACATTCAAAATAAAAAAAAAAATTTATTGTCAACTTATCAAACCAAACCATGTCTCAATTTCAAAATTTTTCACATGGGACAATGTTTTGTCAGGGGATTATTTAATATAATGTATAGATATTATAAATAACATTGAAAATTATAATAAAAATATTTAATTTAGTATTGAATTAAAAAAAAAAGTTTTAATGTATTAAAATTTTGATCAGGCCAGATTCTTAAACAACATGCTTTAACCCAAAACTTTGTGAGCTTGTGAGCTTGTGGGCTGTGGTGGCGCAGTCCAAATGGTGATGATGGCCATAGACAAAAGAGTTAAAAACAATGGTTATAGGAAAAAAACCGGCCCATTCGGTCATTGGATTCCAAAAAGAAAAAATATCCTGTAACGGTAGTTTGACGAGGTCAACCAATCGGTCAAATCTCTATATACTAAAACGAAGACCAAACACCTCAGTATTCTTCCTTGCTCTCAAAGTCTCAGAATCTTTGATTTTTTTTTTCCTTTTTTACTTTCTCAATTGCTTCGCCAAATCTTTTTATTTTCTTGAGCATGGAATCTTAATTTTTGACACTGGGCCTGGAATGGACAACAGTGATAAAAACTCTGTCGTGAAGTGGTATGTTGTTAGACCAATTCTTTTTGTTCTTCTTAATATTTTATGTTTATTTTGTTTTAACTTACTGGTTTGGGTTACTTTTCTTCTGTAGTTGGATAAGACAAAAGTAAAGGTATCCTACATTTTGTGGCTGTTCCTCGTCCAAGTAGTTTTGGTTTTTCTAGTGCTTCAATTGACTTGGACCAGAAGGGCATTGTGAATATTAATTTAGAGATGTCAATGGAAGTCAAATTTAGAAGAACCAAGAACCATGAATATACATATTTGCTCATTCCGCATTATACCTTCAACCTGAAAAGGGTTTTATGGCTTATATATATGTTCTGTCTTGGTTACAAGTTCCCACACTTATTTCAAAAAGCAGGTGCATATATGTTTTCATTCTATAGTGTGAGTAATTCAGATACCTTTTTTTTTTTCATCTTTTTCCTACTTTGAATTATATAATCTTATTTGTTTTTCAGTTTCCTATGACCATGTATCCAAATGGAAGGTTCAAATTAATTTTGAATATTCTGGTTTCCATAATTACAAGCAAATAGTATTGGGAGTGCCATCACAAAAGGTTGGAAACTGGCAGCTTCTTGGCGATGAAAATATTCCATCTTATAATTAAGGTAAGGGAACTTGAGAATATGAGTTATTTGATTGCATATGTGACTGACTGAGATTATTCATCATGGCCAATGACAACAGCTTTAGAAGTATGATTTATTCGCACTATAAAAGTTGTTATGATTAACAAATTTTTTTTAGTTCCAACAATTTTGTTGAGATAAGTTGTGGCTAAGAACTTGTTTGAAATCTGTCTTGTTCAAATATTGAATTTTTTCTTTTTATATTATTCTGGATCTTCCTACTGACCCTTGTGTTTCTCTGAAATCTGTTACATTCTACAATCACAATTATCATATAATTGCATTTTCCTGCCTTCTCTTTTTGTGTTTTTGGATTGTGTGTGCGTGATTGTGTTGCTTTTTCTGCATGTAACAAATTCAACCTTCCTTTATACGTTTATGTCCTAATCAAACATACTTTAGATGGCCATGTTAACATTTTTTTTTTGGGCAGTGTGAATGTTCTTGAGGATACAATCTCAAATTTTGACACTAGACCTGGAATGGACAACAGTCCTTTTTCCTCTATCGTGAAGTGGTATGTTATACCCAATTCTTTTTCCTCTTCTTTATATTTGTGTTTATTTTGTTTTAACTTATTGGTTTGGCTTACTTGTCTTCTATAGTTGATAAGACAGAAGAAAAGGTATCCTAGAGTAAGTGATGTATTCAAATGCTATAGTTTTTGAGCAGCTTTTAGATGCCTCGTTCATCCACCTCATAAAGAAAAGAAGAATGCGTGAGTCTGGGAAGCCTCAGTTTGCAATTGACTCATTCGTAATATAAATGTCAGTCCAACTTGCTCAAAGTTCAAACCTGAGTGGGATATATTTTTGAAATAAACATGCGCTGTATACTTCTACAAGGAATTTCTAAAATTGCATTATTAATATTCGAGGGATGATTAAGATAATCTCGTATTGTCTAAAGAGAGAAAAGAATGAAGAGAAGAAAAATGCTGACCTCAAAGAAAACTATTCTTCCTCAACTTTAGCTCTAAATTAATAGTTTGCACCCCGTTCCATAAGTGTCGTCCCATTTTTTTATCGTATCTTTTTTTTTTTCTCATTTTGAAAAGATGGACTTCTTATCATGTTGGGAATGTAGTGGCATAGTTGCACAATTTCTTAGCAGTGATTGTTGATTAAATTTAGGAAGAAAGTTGATTCTAACGTGCCCATATTTCTCATAAATTTCAATTATCTTTGGAGTTTCTCATATATTCAGGGGAAAGATGGGTACCTTGTCTAAACAGGTTATCTAAAGTACATGCAATAGGGTGCAAACCGCCATACTTAGTGGTAAAAAATTCTGTGAAACTCTTCTTTTTGGTCATACACATTAGTATCTCTGTCTGAAATGCACATAATTGGAGTTTTCCTTTTGTCTTTGTGCTCTCAATTAGTATAATTTTCTACTTATTTGATGCCTCAAAAAAAAGAAGAGGTGTCTAATGCTAAGTTAGTTCCCCCCCTATCCAATCTTTGAATAGGCGTCATTTACCCATTTTACTAATTGTGGGTTGGATTACTTTTTCTCTCGGGTTTTACTTTCTGTTGATCAAAATCAATTGTTTGTTTGTAGCTATTGCTCCATAATAGTAAGTGAATCTTTAATGGTGTTTGCCTGAGAAATTTATCTATAGAGGTTACTTTGTGAATTGGATTCTATGGTTATTTGATGTTTTTGGATATTTTTATTATCAACCTGCAATGTCCTCTGAAATACTACAGTAATCCATCATTTCTCTTTATACCATCACTGGATTTGTTGGAAGCTCTTTTTTGTAACAAAGCAGCCCTTTTTTGGTATGTTTGGATATGGGGGACCTAATGCATCTATGCATCTAGGGAGGTATGACATCTTTGACAAATTGCACATGCCTCTCCCTCTGTTTTGTTTTCTGCTGATTGAATCATGTCCTCGTGATGCAATAGATTCTTGTGGTTATTTTTTTCCTGTTCTCATATAGCTGTTCTATGCCAAATGTGTGAATTGTGAGTTTATGATCTTTTTTAACCAAATAGTCTTTAATCTGTTGATGTTGATGTTGAAATTTATTGAGCCGGAAGACAGTTAACATTTTTGCAACTGGAAAGGGAGAACTGGGATTGGCTTCTTCAAATGCATGATAGTTATGATGATGAAATCAAGTCTGGTAAGGATCAGCCAATTCTTCTGGCCCGTCCTTGAACAAGAAGGCACTAGGAATATCATCTGATGGTATACATTGTCTTTTTTAAGCAGTTTGATGTACAATGCATGATTGATTGATTTTTTATATTATCTTGCAACCTTGTTATTTTTGTTTAGACACTGGAGTAGAATATGTTAAATCAGGTTAGGTCTTGTTTTTGTTTGTTAATATGTTTCTTTCCGTCCCATTAGCTGATATCAATTAATTGTACTTTTGCTTCCTTTCAACTTGCAGTTATAAGGGTTCATTAAATTCTCCAGTGAAAGGTAGTATTACAGAAAAGTGACCAGAGAATCAATGTTCTTGGGTGCATGCGCAGGGTGTCATAATAACAATGTTTATGCTACAATAGAAATTTTCTATTTGAAGGATTTCAAGGGGACTCTGGTGGTAAGGAATATGTTTAAAACAGCAAATAAGTTCAATCTGCTATTGTCTTGTACTTCATTATTGAATTTTGTACATCTAAACATTCTTTGGATTGGTTAATGCTTTCATTTTATCTGTTTTGTATTGGAGAAGCTCTGATTATAGCAGGCAACTTTGTTGTGGTTTTTCTCCCTAAATTTCTTGTAGTTTTTTTTTATCTAATACCTCATGGTTTATTTATGATATATGTCTGTTTCTGGTATGGAAGGCCACGAGGTGTAGCGAATGGCTGTATTGTTTCTGTAAATGGTGGAAATGCCAGTTTAGATATTGAAAACTCATTATCTCTTCCAGTTAGTGTGATTTATTCTGGAAAGGTTAGCTTTTACTGTAAGTTCTTCTGTGCTCTGAGACACAGCTTCATATGGGTGAGACCACTAAACTTTTGAGTTTCAAGCGTTTACGCTGTCAAAAAGATATCTTCGGATGCAAACTAATTATTCTCACTCAAAAAGATATCTTCAGATGCAACCAAGGCCATCAGCTATTGTTGATTCCGCAACTTCAATGCAAGTGGATCTGAATGAAGCCCCTTTAATTGCAAGGGATGAAATGAATAAATTGGAGAATTTTCAGAAGTCCAATCTGTTGCCGAGAGTTCTGAGGCTGTTTTGGTTTCAAACTTTCTTTTGCAGTGTTTCAGTAGAGACTTAAAAGAACAGAAATCTATTCTCATATGGTTCTTTTTGTGAACATTCCATCTTTTTAATTTATTTTTTGTCTTTCTGCCTCTTTTTTAAGGTAAATTTTGATATAACATGATATTTGCAGGAACTTCAAGATGATCTTTGAATGTTGGGATGAAAATCAAGCAGCATGAGGAGAGCACAAGAGTTCTAAAGATTCAGAAGAACAAACTACATGATTCTGTACTTGATGTGCAAGGTATAATTCTCTTATTCTAATTGCGTGCATGAACGTAAATTCCATATTACAATTTAGGAAAAGAATTAAAGATGCTGAAATATTTGGGCAGGCTGCTATCAATGACAATAGGAATGAGTTAAAGAGAAATTATTTGATACACTGATAATGAAATTTTTTAATTTCACAAGTAGGGTTCAGATGATAACACATGTATTACTTCTTTTTTAAATATATAAGAAACATATCTCACCATCTTAATCCCGCTTGTGAAGTTAAAAAACTTCACCATCTGTGTATTCGATGATTTCTCATGAGTTAATGTGCGGTTCATATAAGACAAGAAATTAACACGCTTTTTATTAGATTTTGTCTATAAGGGGTTGACATCCAGCTACATTATTACATACTTTGTCGCTTGTGCTTAATTGCCTAGATCCAATTCTTCATATACTCGTCCCTATCCATGTTATTAATTTTTGCTCTAATTTTGATGTTAGTGATAAAGTTTTAATGATGTTATTAGTTGCAAATAAGGTAACCAGCTAGTATTATTTATTTTTCAATGGGATAATTTCTAGTTACATTGACCTGTTTTGCATACTCATCATTCTAGTTCCCCATATTTTAAAAGTTAAGTTCTTTTTTTTTTTTTAATAAAGTTAAATAATTAATAATGATGGAGTTTTTAATTTTATAAGTTAAATTAAGTTGTCATTGTCATATGTATAATCATATTATATATTATATTACAGCATACAAAGATATGTGATAAAATTTGTTCATGTGTAGTCTTCTATGTACAACATAGTTTAATGACACGTAATATAATTTTAAATATACAACCAAATAAATATTCTTACATGATCATTTACATGTATAATCTATAAATAAGATAATTCTTCAATTTTAATTATTTATTAAATAATTTTAAAAATTAAGTTTGTCTAATATTTTAATTTTATATAAACTTTATCCTAATTTAAATATAAAAAATATCAACTAATGTTTATCATCAATATCTATTAAATCTAAAATTCTAATATTAATCTTTAAATATCAAATATTTTTTTATTAAATTATTATGGTTTATCACTTTATAGACTTTTTCCTATATTAGTACTTCAAATATTTGGATTAATTATATGTAAAGCACAGAAATTAAATATAATTTAAATATATTTCTTTTAAAATTGATTTTTCAACAATATACATATATCTCTTTTTAAATTTGAAAAATTCAAATATAATATTTATCTTCATAGACTTTCGAATAATCCTTTAATATTTGGCTTTTTTTTTAATTCAAACAAATTAAATATCACATATTATATCTTTATATTTTCAAAACTTACTTACACTTCAAAGGATTTTACATATTCAAATTAGTCAATCATTATTATTTATTGCTGGGCATTAAATTATAAGTTAAATATGAAATATAGATTTCCACATTTAATAATTCCATAAGTACATTATTTTTATTCAAAATTTTTCTTTTTATAACACAAAATTTTTAATCATTTTCATTTTTTTAACGTTTTGATGAAGATTACGGTTCATTAAGGTATGTCATTTTATTAGTTAATTTTATCTTTCAATATTATTGTTTACTTCTAATTCTTCTTTTATTTGTTTCACTTTTTTTAATCATTTTTATTACTTTTTTTTATCAAAATCATAAATTTCAGACACAAACAAAATTTGCATTTATATTTTTTTCGTTATGTCAAGAAAAAATCATTGAATAGAAAATTTATTTTATGTCATTGATAGATAATATATATGTATTTTATTTGTTAGATTTTTGTATTATATGTTGATTTTAATTTTGTGAAAATCTCGCTCTATACAAATCTTTAGGTGTCAAATAATTTGTTAGTCATTGATTACTATTTATTTTTGGACATATTAAACTTTCGTATAATGATTTTTAACATGTAAGTGTTATTTTTATTATAATATTTATATTAAATGAAAAGTGAAAAACAAAAATATAGTAAAGAGTATAATTATTATTATTACTACTATATTTATATTTTAAAAAATTGACCTTTTTAACTTATATAAAAAAGTGAAGGTAATAATAGTAAATTTTGCTTAATCAATTCAAAATATTATTTTTCGTGATAAAATGAATTCTGTACAAGAGTATTAAGTCACAATATATTATTGTTTGTGAAGTTAATGATAATAAGTTTTGTTTAAACAATAAATATTTTTTTTATAAAGTTAAATAATTAATAATGATGGAGCTTTTAATTTTATAAGTTAAATTAAGTTGTTATTGTCATTGTCACTGTCATATGAATAATTAATTTACTAATTTTTAAAATATATTCTAATAAATTTTAACTCATTAACCTTGTGAATTTTTTTAAAAAATCATCGTCCGCTAAATTAGTTGTAGTTTATAACTAATATCACAAAATAATCAACGTTAAAACTTTCAAAATTAATTGACAATGTTAATTCTAATAAACAAATAAGATAAATAAATAATCAAGCAAAATCAGTAATATAGGTAGTCAAATTAAAGCTCAAACCTTCATACTTTTTCTTAAATAAGCTGTTATATTTTTATTATATTTAAATAAGTTATTAGATTTTGATTTATATTAAAATAAGTTTTTATATTTTAAATTTTTATCCAAAAAAGTTTTAAATAATTTATGTTAAGGATTTATTTAAATCAAAATTAAAAATTTAAGAATTTATTTGAATGCAAATTTAAGATTAAGAGCTTATTTGGTGTAAATTAAAAATTAAGAGTTTATTTAAATGTAATAAAAATATAGAAATTTATTTAAATAAAGTTATAAAATTTAAGTTTTTTAAAATTATTTTAACCTAAATTTTATTTAAAAAGAGTAACATTGAGAAATAAGTGATGGGCAATAGCAGGCTATGGCTGCAATATGAAAAAAAAAAAAAAAAAAAAACGTTTCTTTTTTATTTCATATCAATTGTTGGGAAAATATGTTATATTTGAAATTTACGAGAGTACATTAGAGAATTTATATATATATATATATTAAATATCACTTGAATTTAAAATTTTAAATTATTAGGTTTTTAGATTTTTCATGTATATATAAAATGCTTCACTTATATATTTTAATGATGTGAGATTTTTTATTTATATATAAATTTATCTCTAACAATTTTTAATAAATATTATGTCTTGGTGGCAAGCACTCAATATTCTCAATGGACCACCCCAGTTTGTAATTCTCCTTTTTCGTTTGGATGATGGATTTAGGTCAGTTTTGTTTATGTCTTCCCTTTTACGTTTTCATTTATGATAAATAATTGTTTCTGGTTTGAGATTTTTTTAAAAAAAATTTCTCAATTATAAAAAAGGAGTATTTTCACCTTGAATCACCAAAAAGAAAACAATATTCTATATATAACCTATCGATGAAACTAAGGTGAAACACAGTCAAATCTTTATTCCATAAAAAATTATAGAGGAATCGATGGTGTGCTAAGCAGACAACAACGTTTTATCTTAAGAGGTGCATTATTTATGCCAATTTACGCAAGCAAAAAAGTTGATACTTGTAATATATGTGTGTCTCTTGTGAATCATGGGAACATACTTGAAGCTAAGCCGTCTACTAAAATTTGCATTACTTTTTATGTAATAGAAGAACTATCACACTTTTGTTCACTACAGAATTGTCTCTTGACCGAAGAGTTATATAGCATATTATAAGGTTTAAATTCGAGTTTAAATAACTTCAAACCCAATTATGATTTTAAAAAATATTATTTTTTATACAAATATTGTATTCCTATAATAACCCTTATATTTCATTTATTTGATAAATTTTCCATTATTATGCAAATACAATATAAGATTCCCTGTAACAATTTTTCAAAAATTGTTTGCTTTGTCTATCTTCTATTTTTACGAATAGGAACTGGCTTGAAAGTTGGAATTCTCAAACAAGCATATGTAATGTCTGATCTGAAGGATGATGGAACTCACTTATTTGCATAAAAGTGGTCTGAAATTATGAAAAGATCTTACATGGTTGACATAAATAACATTCACGATAAGCAAGAACCAGGATAACTGAAATAAAATTCCAAGCCAAAGTCTTTTGAACAATGCTGTCATTCCATAATGTAAAAGCAGAAGGCAGAAACAGATTTAGACGACAGTGTGCAGTCAGAGACACTTTACACGGTATGCATGAAAGATAATTGAAGTGATGATTGATAAAGCCAAGGATGAGTTGCCGGCTTCGCTGCCCCTTCTCACTGGACAACTGAAGCACAGTGTTGTATTCCATTGCACGTACTGCCAGCACGAGGGGAGACGTCCAAGAATCTGTGTTCTGGCTGCTGGAAATTGCCATCATTGTTGGAGACACTTGAGATGTCAGAGCAGCTTGTACTTGAACCAGCATATTCTCCCGTCCGCAAGCAACGAGTCTCAAGTTCTGATCTACTGTTGTTTTGGTCTAAGCAGCTAGCATCAGAGATGGAATGGGAACTTGTGTTAAAAGTTGGATCAGCCTGTTGGAGCTTCCTTTTGCTAAGAAAACGTCCACCTGATCCCCTAACCCTATTCAGTGCATGCCGATGTCGAGACTCGTGAAGATATGGCTGCATTTAATTCAAAGCAAAGCAGATCAGTGGATTTACGCGGTTATTGTCAACCGTGAAAAACCACAGTAACGTTGCTGATGCAGTTGGATGGCAAATCAATAATTACTTTGATATGCCGATTATTAATACAAATTGATACATAGTACTAGTGAGTCGGTGATTAGTTTCCAAAAATATATACTGCATGCCAACAAATGTAGCACTGGGAGTTCAAACAAATGCCCAAATGAATTCTATATACCTTTCGAGATTTGACAAGTTTGTTTTGCGCCTCGAGCTTTGCACGATTCTGCCTCCTCCTGAGAATCCCATTATATTGTTTTGCATTGACATAAATGGGCCCATCTTCTGCAAGATCAAGAGGCAGTGGAATTCGTGTTGATGAACTTCCTGCCATCTGGGCCTGAATCTGGTCAAGTTCAAATCACATTTACATCATAAGAAAAAAAATGGTAACAAGAAATATTAAATGGTAAACATGGTGAAACCTAGACCAATACTGGAGAGGCAGAGGTGGTGATACAAGAAACTCAGACCCACAGCTTAGAAATAGTAATTGGTCATGAAACAACTTAATGTAAACAGTCCTATAAAGCAATTAAGAAGCAATCTTGGATGGATAAAAAGTGATTACTAACATGCTAATAATTCATATAAAAGAAAATATTCCCACTAATAACTAATGTAGATCAATGGCAGGCTACAATATTTTCACTCAGGAGATCTTACAATAGCGTGTTGTCCATATGGGGTAAACGGTCCACCAACATAAGCATCAGTGTAAGGATATCGTGCAAAAGCCTGAAATGGGATGAGAAGTATTAGCTTAAAATAAAACAAACAAAATCAACTTAATAATGACTGTTAAACATACCATTGAATGGTTATAATTTGGATGAGAAGGGCTGACCAAAGTGCGTGGATTGTTAAGCAAAAAAACTGGCTTCATTTGACCCTCAATGCCCTTCCCACAACTTTCATCCCGACCTGACGCATGAGAATACAATTATGATATCAGGCTACAATTGTTAACCTGTTAAGCTTTACAACAAGCTTTCCTCTTCAGTAAACTGTCTAGCAATCCGTTTCATCCCATGCAAAAACTAAAGCAAACCACATTAATGCATCAACAATGATGAGAGAAATTTCTAGAACATCGTCAGCAAGATTTGTAACAACAAAACACAGACATATAACAAAAGAATAAAGCATCAACAAGTCTCCTATTTGCTATACTTGCAAGAACCACTATAAGAACTTTGCTAAAATATTAACAAATTCTACCAAAAGTTCATATCTTCTCCATCCACTCAGAATCAATTCAATCAAAATTTAAGCACATGTAAGGGTAGTACCACAGTAGAGATAGTTGTTGTGTATTAGAGTGGTGTCTAATCCCCAAAGTGTTTGATTAACTTAAACGATATATAAAAAATTTACAGTAAAACAAAATTGTAGCCAATGCAACTACATGGCAAGAACAGTTGTGAAAAGAGAAAGAAAATAATACAGAACAGAAAATTCCTAATAAACCACACTCCCAGAAGCATCAATACCAGATTCAGATGAGCTGCTTTGAGAATTGGTCACTCCTATGGCACCCACTTCATGATGAGATTGACCAATTGCTTGAGCCGATATCAATTCCTGGTTTGGTAAAAGCTTTGCATTATGATAGAGTTGGGAGGGAGTTTCCACTTTCAAGCTTATATTCTGGGGTAAAGACTGTGCAATTTGCTGTTCATTTGAATGCCACCATGGTGGGCAAGTAACAGATGAATAGGATAGCAAATGAGCAGAACTTTCATCAAAATTTTTCTTTGACAAGTTTTGAACTCGAATAGCCATCTATCTAATTCATCAATTATCTTGAATTTTTATGCAAAGCCAGAAGATCCTTGTCAAGAAACAGATTCTTTTTGACTCACTCCAAGATTAACTATTAAAAGAAGTCAAAAGATATAATGAGCTGAGGATGTCTAACTTATACTCAGAATATGAATGTAACCAACAATATTTGCAACCATCAAACCAAACAAGGCATTGCACAAGAAACAATGGAAATGGAACACTACAAACACATGCTGAGCACATCCAAGTTAATGTCAAAAGCTAAAGATCTAGTGAAGCTAAAATTTGGTAGAATAAAGTAAATTGAAGCAGCAAATAACCCAACCATAACTGAACAAAAGAGACAAAGCTACAGATAGATGACAGGCTGCACAATTGACGCATGAACCAAAATCACAAGTTAGATTCTCAATGTAATATTTGAAAACTTATTAACAGTTGACAAAAGCACAGACAAGAAGAACCAACGATGCAAAAGATGGTTGATGGGATATGTTCCATTGCTGCAGTCATATTTTCCAAAGCCATCAAAAAGATGAACCCATACATAAATGCAGTTAATGGTTTAAATATAGTGAAAAGAACAACCAAGTGCACCAGGCCATCCGGGGAGGGTAAATTCAAGAGGAATTCACTTGGAAATAATGAAGAACATGTACTGACTAATTGAAAGGTAATAGTTCAGATGCTTGTTACAATCATCAAGAACCCACTCAGCAGTAAACATTAGATACATAAAATTCACAAGGGATTCAAAAGGAAAAGCATTTATGAATGTCACCGAATGTAGCAGTCAAAAGAAAAGCATGTATTTACAAATTCTTAAATAGGAGAGAGGAAAACAATCACAGAAGATAAAGAAACAAATAAAGAAACAAAAGATGACCATATTTTAAGAAAAAAAAAGTGGAATACAAAAGGCTTTTCGAAAGTAAATTTCACAATAATAGCAGCACAAAATAGTTCCTTATCCAAATTTCCATGAAGAAAGATATTCAGAACCCAGATTCAGAAACATGATGTAAAAATGTTCTAGATCTATTGAGCAATTGAAACATATCTAGACATCATCATCATTACATGTCAATTTTCAACAAGCAAATGAAGCAGTTTTTGCAGTTATCAAGCATGCTCAGAAAGTCAACCCTGTAAAATTAATAGCATTTTTGCCTTGCATGCAACAAGAAGTTGTGAAAAAACAGATAATATGCAAACAGTTTTGACCGCTGCGCCTCAGAAGATTGACAGCCAATCCGCCTAACAACCAGAAAGGGCTTATGACGCGGTTTTCCATGAACAAAATAGCAAAGTTATTACAAATTCCAATGAATTAGAAGCAAACCCTAGTTCTAGACATGGGGGTGGGGAGCAGGGAGAGTAAAGTTACATTTCATAGACATACAACTAAGGAGCTTCCTAGTGACACGCAGCAGAAATTAATACAGGAAGCATAACAGATTTGAGAACCTGAGCGAAAAAAAAAAAAAAAACCAATCAACAAGATATAGAGGAAGCTTAGATCAGAAAGCAAACCAAAAAAAAAAAATTGTGTTTCAAATATCAGTAACTCTTCTAAAAAAAAAAAAAATCCCCGCAACTTCAGAATCTACCTACAGCATAGCAAATCTTAGCTGAATAAAATAAAAGTTCTTCCAGAAACTTTTCTTGTGTTGAAGCAGAAGCAGAAGAACAAGAAGGAGGAGGAGGAGAAGAAAAGAGATAACCAAGAATTATCCCATTCTAAGAGCAAGAGGGGATGTAAAATCTATTGTGTACGGACAACAATCTATGTACGGACGAGATGATGCTTAAAGTTAATGAAACACTCCCACAACAACAAATAAAAACCTTACATATATAAAGTATATAGTGTAAAAAACCAATGCACCCAAAAAGCCAAAACAGGAAAAGAAAAAAAAAAAAAAAAAAAGAGAGACAATAACAAAAACAATTGTAGCAACCACTTTACCAAGAACAACAACTTTCCCAACTTCTACAAGAACAACATCAACTTCATCATCACCATCGTCACCAAGCATTTAAAAAAAACAGCAAATAAAACAAAACCCCCACTGAGGGAAATAATAAAAGTATCAAGAGATTAAAAAAAAGAAAGTAAAAGGAAATAATCAAGAAGATAAAGGAGAGAAAAGGAAGCAAACAAAACCCAAAAAAAAAAGTACTAATAGGGTTAAGTAAAGATAGGATAAGCTTGAATCAAATGAAAGAAAAGAAAAAAAAAAAAGACCTATGGGATCTGATGAGATGTGAAGCAGAAGAAGCAAAGAAATGTTCTGTTGGGAAGAACTTAGGCATGTCCCCTCCCTTGAAACTCTCCAACCACTCTTCTCTCTCTTTGAATTTATCCCTGCCCTTTTTTCCTTTTTTTTTTTTCTCTGCAAAGATTCTCTAGTAATGCCAAAAAACTAAATGAAAAAAAAAAAAGAAAAGAAACATATGTTATTAGTATTATTATTCCACCAACCACCATTAAAATCCATCTATGACCTACGGCTTTGTTTCCCTACCTTTGGTTATATTTTTATTTTCTTTTTTTAGTTAATATCTCTGTCTTTGTGCGGACTACAATCTCTTATAAATTTTATACACGATATAATAAAAAATAATATAAAATATAAAAATAATATAATTTAAATTTTTAATAAAAATTATAAATAAATTTAATAAAATAAAACAAAATTTATTTTAAAATTTTTATATAATAAAATTATAACATATAATTTTTATAAAAATATAATATAAATATATTAATTATTAATATTTTACGTTATATAAATATACGAATTGTCGGTTCTATTTTTCACTTTACTTTATCGCGGCCAGCCGCCCTTCACTGTCGATATTTATGCCCACGTGCTAGCTGGACATCTTGTTTCTGATTGGATGGTGTTGTTTACGCCCCCTATTTGCACGTGAAAGTTGATGACATAAGTGGAAAACGGTGGCTTCATTTTTTTTCCACACATGCTTTTCCTTTTGGATTTTACCAAACTGCCCCGATTGTTGGATTTATTTTTCAAATTCTTTTTTTTTTACCGTTTCTAAAATTTTAGTTAGATTTTATATTTGTTATATTGTTAAAAAGCCAAACTGAATAGATATAAAAAGCAAAGAACATATCATAATTCATTCAAATAGATATTTAAATTACTAAAAAACAATGAAAAATCTAACAAAATTTCTCTTATAATTGATAAAAATCAATGAAAATTATTTAATTTAAAGGGTAATGCTTAACTAGTGAGGATGGCAACGAGCATCTCATAATGGCTAAAAAATTTGTTTGTTTGTTATTTAAATTTTCTTCCCTCGTGATAGTTTTAAAAGTCAATGAAGATGAGGTTTTTGATTAGTTTAGTGAGCAAGTTGGGTTTAGAGATAATGTTTTAGAATTTAATCTGAATTTGGCAAAGCAGTAAAAACCACTAGTTTCTTGATAACCATGTTTAATCAAGTAAAATTGATCCAAAAATGATGACTTCACTCATCAAGCCTAACAATTTTGTTATATAATATTTTATCTTTTGTTCACCGCACTGGGAATACTCTAAATTAAAAAAAAAAAAGGAAAAATATCAGACGTAAAATAAAAAAGTTTTCTCAACCCCTGCCACAGATATATGAGAGGGAAAAACCACTTACATTATAAAATTAAAAAAAAATACATATTTTTTATTATTAATTTTAATATATTCAAATGATAAAATTAATTTTTTATTTTTTTATTCTTTTAATTTATTAAATTTTATAATTAAATAAATACGTAAATTATTTTTAATTTTACTCTCTGTAAATTGATCTATTTTATATATATTCAAAGTTGAATTACCAAATAAAATACAAATAAATGTGTTTTATGTTTAAATAAATAATTATAAAAAAAAATTAAACTTAGCAAAATAGAAAATTTCGTAGATCAGACCGAGCTAAATTAGGCTCAAATGATTTTTGAAAACCTTTCTTTAAGATATAGTACAGCTAGATAGTTGGTTTCAATAACCAACAAAATTATAAAAATATATTAAAATTTTATATTTTAATATAAAAAATAAAATTTTATTAATTAAATAATATATCAAACTAGATTGTTTTCTATCTATCCAGAAACTATTTCTTCTATTCTGTATTTCCTAGGCAAGATTCTCCCGTTTCCTAATTTCTTATCATTAAGATCCATATTCTCAGATAATATTATGGAATCAGTCTGCACCATAATCTTCTTTATCCTCATTGATTGAGCTATCTATTTATTTTCTTAATTAAATCTTTTCAGTCAAAAGAAAAGAAAATGAGAGATTAAAGTTGTAAAAATATTCTTGAACTATAATTAAAAAATTATTTAAAGTCTTAACATTTTGTTACAAGTAATCATTTTTTTATTTTTTATTTTAATTCAATTGAATTTTTAATTGAATAAAATTTAGTAATATAGTAAAATTGAATCAACCAATTTTTAAATCACAATCAATTAACTTTTAAAAAATTTTAAAATGAGAGAAAAATAAAAAATAAAGATAAATTTTTTTATTTTATTTAATTTTTACATATTAATTATGTTACATTATAAACTTTTATTTATTTTATTTATGTCGTATAAAATTTTATCTTAATTAATAAAAATATTAATGGTATTAACGTATTAATCTAATTGAATGTAAATAAATGTTAAATAAATTGATTATAATAAAAATTATAGTTTATATAGTTTTTTAATTAGAATTAAGAAACTTTTTATATATTTAGCTAAAATGAAATGATGAAAGAGTGAAGCATAGAAAAATGAGATGAGAAATTAAAGCGAAAACGTTGGACTGTCATTTTCCCTGCGTCGTTTAGATGTGTGAGGTCAGAATCTAAGGGATATTTTTATTATTAAAGATTATTAAAAAGAAAAAGTAAAAAAAAAAAAAAAAAAAAAGATGGATTGGCAGTTGATTGGAAAGATTTGTTAAGTTTTGATTATGACTGAGTATTATTTGATTAAAATTAGTTTGTTTTGAAAATTAAAATTTGTTTTATTGATTTCAAAATCAAAATCCAAATTAAATTAGATTAAAATCTTGCTCTCATTTTCTTGTTATTTTGAAATCAATTTAAATCAAACTAAATAATATAATAATATTTTTATAAAGATACAGTTAAATAAATGAGATTTATTATTTATCAAACACTATCAAATTAAATTTTAGAGATTTTTTTTTGTTTCATATTTTAATTTACATTATTAAAGGGTCAAAATAAATAAAAAATAAACTAAATTAAATTAGATTAAAATCTTGCTCTCATTTTCTTGTTATTTTGAAATCAATTTAAATCAAACTAAATAATATAATAATATTTTTATAAAGATACAGTTAAATAAATGAGATTTATTATTTATCAAACACTATCAAATTAAATTTTAGAGATTTTTTTTTGTTTCATATTTTAATTTACATTATTAAAGGGTCAAAATAAATAAAAAATAAACTAAATTAAATTAGATATAGTTTTGATTCAAAATATTGATTTCTATTTAATTTGGATTGATTTAAATTCAAAAACTTAAAAACGAAAATTTTTTGGTTTGCTCACCCTTAGTTTTGACTCCATCTCCCATTGCTTACAAATTACAATTTCACAACCAGACATCATTAAAGGCAAAATCTCTCGCTTCCTGATCTCTTTCACCAACAACAAAAACCATTAAAAACCTAACAAATAAATAAATAAATATTTACTTCTGATATTAAATAAACGTGATAGACATAATGCACTAATATTATATTTATTAATATATATATTTATATATGTGAAAGTGAAAGTGAGTGTGAGTGTGACTGTGACTGTGAGTTTGGCTATTCAAATGTTATAGGTAGGTTTGTATAAAGCTTTGCTCACGGAATCATCATGGTTATTCTTGACAAGTCGGATTTTTTTTTCGTTATATATACATGCAATTACGATTTACGACAGTACGGAAAATTCTATCAATAAGATCTTGAAAAGAAAAAAAATAAGAAAAAAGAATCCTTATGTTACTACTTGCTGCTCATTACTCGATGGTGATGGCGTGATGCTAATCTTGACAAATACTACACCTAAATCATGGAATCCTATGCCCTCTCCCTCTCTCTTTTTGTGGTTGGCTTTGGGAAATTTAACCATTTCTTGCATTGAAAAGCAACATGTTTTGCTCATAAAAATTCCAAATGGGCTCAAGCCTCAAAGACAAGGCTGCAGTCTGCCCAGTTTTTTTCTCTCTCCAATTGCCAATGGTTTCAAATTTATTATCTAACACACACCACTTCCCATGCTTTCTCAAAATTTGGTGTTTCTGCGTAGAAAGCGCCTTGCCGGAAGGAGGCAGGCACCAGGCAACAGGCAGGCAAGCATTTCTGCACATGCACTCGAGCCCGCGCACATAAAGCATAAAGATAAAGAAAGAGACAAAAGGGAGAAGACAGACTATATATTTATGAACTACTACGGTCTACAACCAAAAAAAAAAATACTAATAGAACATATCTGAAGATTAAGGTAACTATTTGACTTTCTAAGTGGTCCTGGAATTGAAGGAGCCTTGCATAACGTGGGATGCCATTTTCATACACCATAATTTGGTGCTTTGCACAAAAAAAAAAAAAAAAAACAATTTTTAAGTTACAACAGAAGGACAATACACATTTCACATTTTTTCAGGAGCTCAATCCCATTTCTTTCACTTTCAATAGCTCAAAGAAAGCAAGATGTATAATGGCCACCAAGATGACTGCTACCACCAACAATGGATAGTTGTTCATCGGGTAAAACCCAAAGTTAAAAAGGGAAGTGGAACAAGATCTCTGTTGTCACTGAAAGAATGATTGAAAGAACTGAAGTTCAGTAACTATGTTCTTCAAACCTGCTAAGTGCAATTCAAACATCCTTAATGTGGCCAGGTACCTGCAAAGAAGTTTCTTGAGAATGATTAAATAAGCTGGTGTTCATTTTCCTCCAAATTTGGTAGATACAAGTATTACAGGCAAGCAATCGCAGTAGAGTTAAAAGTAAAAGGCTAATGGTTATTTAACGGGTAGAATATAAGTGTTAAGAGTGAAGAATAAATATAATAATTTTAAACATGATATAACAATAGAAAAATATATGAAAAAAAATATAAAATAATACAATTTAAATTTTTATTAAAAAATATATAAGTTTAATAATAATAATAATAATTTTGTGTTTAACATATTAATATGAATTATTATATAAAAATTTTTATATTTTATATATTTAATATAATATAAATATAATATAAATGCATAAATTATTAAATATCTGAAAAAGACGTACATTGACCAGTAAAAATTTAAAAGGCTGTACTCTCTATCTTTGCAGCCCGAGTTGATGGTCTAAGCTATGTTAGATCTGCTCACGAAGTGCGGGAATGGTTTAATGTAGGATTAGCTTAAGCCCCATTGTTTCCCAATAGGTTTTCTTTGGCAAGTCCAATGACGGCATTTTCAGTATCAAGGGTTCTTGGGCCTTCAAAGAATGAAACTGAGCCCATAAATTTGCTAGAGTGGGCTTTCTCAGACAACCTAGAGCCCAAAAGGAAAGACCGGCAGAGATAGGATCGGACAGCAATCAATTCATTATAAAGAAGGTAACATCAGCTGGCCCAGGTACAGCCTATCTCTCTCTCTCTCCCCACTCCGCTCTTCTTCCGGTTCTTCTATTATAGATAAACAGCAAAACCCGCCAATCCCATATCCGTACAAAAAAAAGAGGAAAAAAACCCAAACCCCGGTAAATCCATCCGGTTGTAGGTTAAAAAGTTCAAAAGCAAAAATTTTCTCTGTTTTCACGTCACACTGCAGCAATGAACACTATGCCATTATAGCGATTCGCGAGCCACCCTTCCTCTTTCACACCAATTTGCTTTACTTCCTCCTTCTCCTTACTTCTCCAAAAAAAAGAAAAAAGAAAAAAGCAACCCCTCTAAAACAGAATCAGAAATGCAAATGCAGCTGCTTAACTCTCCACTCTCCTCTGATATGATTAGGAGGTGATTTATTTATTTTTTTCTATCTTCTATTCACTTTTTTTTTCTTTTAAGAAAAAATTCCTTTGTCGTTTTAATTTGTTTTAATTTTTATTAGTGCAGAGAATCTTTGATCGTTTTAATTTTAATGTGGCAATAAAGAGCTCCTGAGTCCTGACCGAGTCTCGTGATTCGAGCTCCCTCAAACTGAAAAAACTAGATCCCAACCCCGCCTCTGATCCTCGGATTTCTCAGTACATTAAATTTTGCCTCTGTAGGTAAAAGTCGAAACTCTGGGGTTAATTTATTAATCTCTCTTGTCTTTACTGTGTTTCTTCGAAAGGAAAAGCTGCTGGTGAATTTATTAGTATTTCATAGTTTAGTTCTAAAATTTTGAGAAATGTAGTTTTGATTGTAATCTTGAAAATTTTCAGAGATTTTCATAAACAACAATGCTGACGTGCATAGCTCGTTCCAAGCAAGCCGGTGATGACTCACTGAGTCAACCAGAGGAAATGGACTCTTCAACTGCTCCTAACACTAAGCAAAACCAAGCCATCAAATCCCTCACTTCTCAGGTAATTAACTCTCAATTTTACGAAGTCAAGGTTTTCGAGTTCTTTGGTCTTTGTTTGGTTTTAAAGAAGAGTAGTTTTTTCGGGGTTTTAGTTGAAGGATATGGCGCTAAAGGCTTCGGGAGCGTACAGGCACTGCAACCCCTGCACGGCGCAGAGTCGGTTGAGGAACTCGGGCGAGTCTGACGCGGACTCGGACAGGTTCAGGTGGTCGTATCGTAGGACGGGGAGTTCGAGCACGGCGACACCGAGGACGTGGGGGAAGGAGATGGAAGCAAGGTTGAAAGGGATATCGAGTTCAAGCGGAGAAGCGACGCCGAAATCGTTGAGCGGGCGCCGAGTCGAATCGATCGTGTTCGTCGAAGAAAGTGAGCCTAAAGAGTGGGTGGCGCAGGTGGAGCCCGGAGTGCTTATCACCTTCGTTTCGCTTCCGCGCGGCGGGAACGATCTCAAGCGGATACGGTTCAGGTGCGCCTTCATTTTCCTGATTTTCGATTTTGACGGTTCTGATTTGTTTTCAAGCCTTGGATTTTTAGTAGTACGGCTGCAGTTAGTTTAGAATTGTTACTTGGAAATTTGGGTTGGAAACTTTAGAACGGAATGGACACGTCACCGGTCGAACTTTTATAATAAAATTTGTTTTAATGGAGGTTTTTTATTTAGGTGATATAGATAGAGGTTGTTTGGATGTCTATTTTGGAATGCCTACCGTTTTATTTTAGTTTATTATTGACACAATCTTTTTGCTAGTAGATTCTTAAATAAAAATAAATAAATTTTGGCCGAACAAAAGAAGACTAAATGTGCTTTCTTTTGTAAAGAAAAGGAATCGCCTTTTTTTTGTTGATCACAAATTTTTATGTTTGATTTTGACAGCTGTGAAAAAAATATTATTTTTGAGAGATTCTTTATTCCAACTTCAGCAAAATTGCCCTAACTATTATTTTGCCGATGTATTAAGGATTTATTTGATGTGGTGAAAAAACTTTCAACATGTTATAAATATGTTTTGACTGATCCTAGAGATGCAACCATAAAACAACCTCAGATGAAAGTTCCTCCGATCCTACATATTTTTGTCCTTTGTAGATTTGATGATTTTCACCATATTTACAGAATTTAATGTACAATAGTAAAATGTTAGGAATTATATTTTAAATTTTGGTAATTGGGTTCAAGAAAAAGTGATATTTAGTTAAAAATAAGAATTTTTTTTTTTTATGAAACGTAATAAGGTATATAAACCAAATTGAAACAAAAGACAAAAAGGGAAAAAATGGGATTAAAAATTTACATTTATTATTTTTTTAATTTTTGTTGGATTTTTTTTCTTGTAACTAGGCATCCAAACATTGCCTTAAGAAAATGAAGAATTTTAGGTTGAGGGCCCCACAATGTAACAGTTGGTTTCACGCCTAATGAAAAGCAATCCAATAAAAGTCCAAAAGTAGAACTGATTGTGCTTTATCAGTGGGGTGGGACAGGATTGATTGTGTTGGGAAGCTTTTTCGCTGAGGCTTGTCTTTGTGTCGGAGAAGGCTCTCCCCTTTCTTTTTCATTCAAAACCAAAAACAAAAGAAAAATTTCCCTTCACGCCTGATTCTCCGTGGCCCTGTCTTCTTCCCACCCATATCTTGTCATTTTGTCTACAATTAACTAGGGAATGTCCACATCATTTGCAGCTCCGAAACTACATGCAAGACAAAAATTTGACCCTTTACTAATCTTATGTTTGCCAACAAACAAAGACCCGATTACCTTTCCATGTTTTCTATGGACAATGACAAGAGGGATTAGTCATTCGATCTAGGGAACATGGTTGTTACCTCTCATTTATGACTTCTGTACCCATTCTAGAAAATTGATTTTAATTGGTCTCTTAATTGACTGTATTTTCCATCACCATTTTCATTTTCATATGATCATATCTAATATAATGCTTCATAAAGCTCCTCATTGGGTTTAGACTGCAGATGCTTTTTCTTTTTGGAAGACTAGACACCCCACTACAAACACAATGATGCCACTTAGAAAATTTTAATATTCCCCTTACCTAAGGGTGGTTAGTAGCTTTTTTCTATGATTGAAAGAAGGGGAAATGCTTGGTCAAAAGATGTTTATAAGACAATCTAGTGGCCTAATAAATGATTAAAATTTTCCATTCACATAAAAGAGGATAATGCAATTATAATGGTCATGGTTGGGTTTTCAAGTCATTGACTTGTGAAAAAAGGTAATAGCATGGTATAGAGTCTTATCTTTGTGAAATTAGGACTTAAATTCACACAAATTTTATCTTTCATTTTCTGATAAGTTTGACCAAAAATTGTGTTTGACGTCCCTAATGCATGTAAACCAATCATGTAATGGTATTAGTTGCTCCATTTTTAGCACATGCATAACATGAACCACTAATTTCTGATTTCTGGGATACTCTAATCTCTTGAACATAAGGAGTGCTGAAATATAGTTTATTTTCTTTGACTAGTCGGGAAATGTTTAACAAATGGCAAGCTCAAAGATGGTGGGCAGAGAATTATGACAGAGTGATGGAACTCTACAATGTCCAGAGGTTTAACCGCCAGGCATTCCCTCTACCAACACCCCCGAGATCAGAAGATGAGGCAAGTTCTTAGGCTGTTGCCTGCTTAATGTAATGTGAATGAATTGCACCTACTCATGCCCTGCACCAATACTGTTCAAAGTGCATGTATGTTTTTGTTATTTTTCAATGTTAATAACAATATTCTTTTGATTCCTTCCAGAGCTCGAAAATGGAATCAGCAGAAGAAAGTCCTGTAACACCACCATTAACTAGAGAACGCTTACCTCGTAATTTATATCGTCCAACAGGGATGGGCCTGGGCTACTCTTCCTCAGATTCACTTGATCAACACCCAATGCAGGCCAGGCATTATTGTGACTCTGGTCCTACCTCAACTCCAAAACTTTCCAGTATTAGTGGTGCCAAGACAGAGACATCATCAATGGATGCCTCGATGAGAAGTAGCTCATCAAGAGAGGCTGATCGCTCCGGAGAGCTATCCATCAGCAATGCCAGTGATCTTGAGACTGAATGGGTTGAACAAGATGAACCAGGGGTTTACATTACTATCAGATCCTTGCCAGGGGGCAAAAGGGAGCTTAGGCGAGTTAGATTCAGGTATGGTTCTATGACATTCTTTAACTTCAGTGATATTTGGCTTACCAATAAACAACTAATATTGACCAGGACCATCATAACTGATATATAGAGAAATGTGCTTGTATGGATTTATCAGCCCCAATTATCAAACAGTTCTTGGCACTTAACATTTTAGAAACTTCCAACATCTCAAGGTGGTAAATAGCAGGTTGTAGTTTGATCCTTGCAGTCACTGCAAGCTCATCTTACAAGCTAAAACAATCTAAATCGAATTTAGATTAGTTCATATGCCTAACCTTTGCATTCGTTAGCAATCTGTAAGTCTAATAACAATTGCACTTCTCTCATTGCTAGTTGACATCATAGTTCCATTGGATGATTTTTTCTTTTATGGCTTTTCTTGCATTTTACAGACTATGATAGGGTAGAATGTGATGTAATTTGCACTTTCCTTTTCAGTCGCTAGCATACTTTCTAGATTCATTTACTCTGCTTTAGAGATTGTTACATATCAAATTATCAGGCAGCAAATCAGCTATCTATCAAGGCCAATTCTAATGATCTATTTTTGCATTGCCGTCATTGGCAAAGTCTTTCTGTTTGATTGAATTATATGAGAAATCTTCATTTATTCGATAAGTTCAATTGCTGAGAATATGATCTAGGCATAAGCTGCATCATCTATTCTGTTTTCTCCCTAAAAGGGAAGGCAGGTGGTTAAAAGTTAAAACACATAAGCATTGTAAACTCATTGGAAATGCTCCAAAAAGCCATTTCTTCCGTGGATTTGATTTCATTGGGTCCAGCATAAGTCAATGCCATGATTGAGGTCCACCTTAGAGACAATTATGATTTGAATTACCGACTGTCAGAAACAGTTTATTAGCTGTAAAACTTTTTTTGACAGCATCATTAGTTCATTACTAGGTCACTTATTCTGCTTTCACCAACATTATTTTACTCCCATGCCGAGGCAAATCCAGCATGAACCTTTTTTTTTTTTAATGAGGAAATGTTATTGTCTTTCATTTCCAATTTTTCCATCACTTTATCTTAAAATTTGACTGGATTCCTCACTTTATGCCTATATCATACAGCCGAGAAAAATTTGGAGAGATGCATGCTAGACTGTGGTGGGAAGAGAACCGAGTCAGGATACATGAACAATACTTGTAATTGAGCAAACAAAGGAGGCTAGCTGTCTTGCTGGCGCTTTTCTAAATTGTGGGGGTGTGTATTTTTGTCATTTCTTCTGCCATACTTGTAGAATCCCTTTTACAGAGATCTAAGCAGGTGTTTCTGCCTACTGGCACCTGTGTTCCTATTTGGGCAGTTAAGTTTTTCCAGCTTCATAGTAGCTTAGAAATGTGATGGTGGGATTTTATATTAGTAGTTTCTTAAAAAGTGTTGGTGGATAAAGAGCATCAACTGTGTATTTGGGTGGTGGTAAAAAAGGAAAAAAAAAATCAATATCAATGAAAGAATGTTTTTCCTCGTTCTTTGATACTTCTGCTTTGTCATGTTGCTTTACTCACATGAAATTTGAGGTACTAAAAACTAAAAAGGTAGCGTCTATACAATTACAAAGAGTGTTTGACCACCGAGAGAAATAGCTTCTAAATTGGTCAAATTTTTGTACAACCAAAGATTTTAGAGTTTCGACACCTCCAGCTTAGGTGTGACATATATTATTGTACAAATTAAATAGTGATGGAACATGTGAAGCCAGCCGAATTTTCCCAAGCTATTCACCGCCAACAAAAGTCAAAAACAAACCAGCAATTATGTTCATTTTTAGAAGCAATATTTACCCAATTACAGAGTTACTTGTATTTTTTTGATTCGGGGAAAGGATTCCAAACCAAATATCTCTTAAAAGTGGCCCAACAAAAAAGTTCAGGAGCCAAACTCAGCCCAAATCAAATCACTGCAAGACCTATTGAGATGGATTCGATCATTCATGTCCACAGACTTCGGCCTAAATCTTTTGTCCAAGTTTTCGAATAATATCTGAGGTTCTTTTGAGGTCCAAGCTTTTGGTTTGTTTTGACCTCTTCTAGTCACCAAATCGTCCAACACAATGAAAAGGGCCATTACCGTTAGTCCATCCAAATCAAAATGGACGTTTTCGGAAGTGAACTATGTTAAGTAATTTGGACTTGTTAAACTTGGGTAAATCTTCGGCGGTTTTGTTTCCTTATGGTTCAATTTGAAACCATCTGCCTCTGTACATCCTCTTTTTCTTTCCTTGGGCACAAACGAGGGGAAAAAGGATCAGACACTTGCAGTTGCAATCTTTCAAGTTCCATCCTCATCAAAGCACAAATCTGACGGATTTTGCTTTCATTTTTCTGATTCAGGTGGTGAAAACTCGGTGACAACAATTACTCAAAAAAAAAGTGAAAGGTAAAAACAACCCGAATTACGCACGATTTCTGATTGGCCTCCGGCTGACAATTAACCCCAAGAAAAAGAATTAAAATAACTCACCTCAGAAAGTTATCATCAATCAAGTTAAAACTAGTAAAAAAAAATCCCTAAAGAAAGAGTATCTTGGATAGACAGGAAACTGGTAAAAAAGTGAACCCAACAATCAAACCTGCCACAGCCTGGCACCCCACCCACCCCCATCCCAACCAAAATTTTTACCCGCACGCGCGGCACTCTCCTTTAAAACTTTTCCACAGCAACAACAATGCTTTTTTCACAGTCCAAATCTTCTCTCTCTTGTGCTTCAAACTTATCTAATTTCATTTAGAAAAAAAAATGCTAGTAATAAACAAAACGGTCCAGTTCATATTGAGGAAATTTCTTCTATTTGTATTCCCTTTCTCTCTCTCTTTTTGTTCTTTCACATGATCTACTTGCATTCTACTTAATGTGTTTTTGCTGCTTTTGACACTAGCAGACATTAAAGCTCTTAGCCAGTCCCTTTCTTTAATCTCAATTCCTCTGTTTTTTCCCTATATAAACCTCTGTTTCCTCTGTTTTCTCTTTCGTGTGTATGCAAAAAATATGTACAGAAGAGAGAGTTCCGTAATAGAAACAACGGTTCCTCAAAGACGAAGAACCCCTTCTTTCTCTTCAAGTCTTCTCGATTCTATTTACCGTTCCATTGACGAATCAACTAAAAGAGATGAACCAACATTGTGTCGTTACAGGGAAACAAAAACAAACCCTGTTAAGAAGCAGAACAATGCTTGTATGGAAGATGAGAGAAAGGTTTCCAGTCTTCGACGGGCTATTATGATTGAAAATTGGGTTGAGAAGCAGAGTAGTTATCGCTCATCTGTGCATTTCAACTCAACTTCAAGTTCCTCGGATTCTAGCAGTGGTGGAATCTTCTCATCATCCGAAGCTGAGTCAAGTTACAAAGAGAAATCAAGAAGATCAACACCGGCTAAACTTGACAATTCTATGCAGTTTGAGCCAAGAAACTTCGACAATAGCAACAACAACAATCAACAAAAGTCCAAGAGAGAAGGCGGTGGGTTCACAAAGACCAAACTGAAAGCTTTGAAGATCTATGGTGAATTAAAGAAAGTGAAGCAGCCTATTTCTCCTGGTGGTCGTATCACTAACTTTTTAAACTCCATTTTCAATGCTAATGCTAAGAAAGTGAAGATGTGCTCCGCTGGGGTTTCAGACGATGTAAGTTTTGAACACAAACCAAAATCTACATGTTCATCAGCCACTTCATTTTCCAGGTCTTGCTTGAGCAAATCACCTTCTTCTAGAGGTAATAAGTATAGCAATGGCACGAAAAGGTCAGTTAAATTTTGTCCAGTTAGTGTCATTGTTGATGAAGATTGTAGACCTTGTGGCCATAAATGTATTTATGAAGATGATCCAAGTTTAATGCCAACTTCAACTGTTAAAAGGAACGTTAAAAGTTCTTCAAGAAAGGAAGAGCTCAAGAATTTTGTTAAGGAGAAAGAATCAGGAGGTAGCAATAAAGCAAGAGATTATCTATGGAGCTATCAAAGGAGGGGTACTGGTAAATTGGATTTGAGAGGCTTTGTTGATGATTATGAGGATGATGATGACGATGCTTTGAGTTATTCAAGCTCTGATCTTTTTGAGTTGGATCATCTCATTGGAATTGGAAGGTATAGAGAGGAGCTACCAGTGTATGAAACTACTAGTTTGAAAACTAATCAGGCCATTGCTAATGGCTTCATATTGTAGCTCATTATCATCTTTCAAATCGTAATTAATGGTTTGGGGTTTCAAATTGAAAATTCAAGTTATTTTTTCTTCTTATAATAATGATGATTATTCTATATGTTTCATAAGCTTTTAAAAAAAAAAATCAGTCTTTGAAGAGTGAAGATTCAATGTTATCTTCACACAGTGAACCGTTAAAGCAATACATAAAGTAGAAAAAAAAAAAGGTGAAAAAGGAAAAGGATACACAAATCTTCTCCCCACGAGAGAAGGGAGAAAGTGAAAACTCTTTGCTTTTTCATTGGCTTAAGCACATGGCCTCAACATCTCAACATAAATTAGTTCCCCTTTGGAGTCACTGAATAAAAAATTTCCATGAATAAAAAGAATTTTTTTCCTCATTTCTTCACATTTGAATATAGCACAGTCGTCTGTCCTCACTGCAAATTTTCAATGCATTGAACCGACTTTCACATCCATGCGCATATTCTTTGACAGCTCCCTGTCTCTCTGGTTGAGGATATCCATGGCTATCACATTGAATATGGACCTTGCATTCTGAAACAGTAGACAAAGGGACAGCTGACGCCTGCCATAGCCAACTATTGAGTTCCAGAAATTCTGTCTGTCTGACCTTGTACATGTACTATCATAAAAAGAGTGGAATCTCAATGATTTCTTTCTGTTAGAGTTGTTCGTTGGGGATATCATTTCTTGATTTGGTGGGATGTGACCATGAGCTTAGAATATTATTAGGGACATCTTTAACAAAGAAGTAAGAACTAAGATAACCATCTTCATTCTGGTGCCTGTAGTTTTAACCCTTGCATCAGCGAGATTCTTGTACTCATTTATCTTCTAAACAAATAGATTCAAGTCTTACAAATTGGTGTAAAAAGAAGGTTTTTCCAGGGTGAATAAATTTGCCCAAGATTGGAAAAGCAAATGACCAAAATGGTTGATACGTTATCTGGTGTGGACTTTACTGATATGAAACTGAATTATGGTGTGATCAAACTTCGACCAGAAGAAAATTCCAATCCATCAATGATCTAGAGGTCCAATACCAAATTAAACTGATGAATAATGCTAACCCTTTGCAGACAAGCAGGGTCACACATGAGGAATCTCAGAAGTCAAAATATAGCAGGATCAGACATGATAGCAAAAATCCAAACGAACTTTTGCACCAGAGGAAAAAATGAAAAGGTTTGTGAGTAACCATGTATTCTTTTGGATGAAATGGGACAGCAGAGACTGGCCACCATCGTTGACTTGATTTCCATTTGATCAATTACTCTCATACCAAAAGAAGAGAAATACCCCATCCCAAAGAAGAGAAAAAAAAAATGGAGAAAATCCAGAAAGCAAAAACTCTCTTTCCACTTGAGAATGGTGGGAACATTTATTAAGACTAACACATGTCATCCTCAACTTTATTGGATTGAGATGTGTTCAAAATGGACTTTGAAATAAAGATAAGAGAATCAACATGATCCCTTTCAAAATGTCATAAAGTCACACTTATGACATGCCATAATCTCCAACAGCTTAGCTATGGCTCCTTAATAATAGTCTTCACCAAAAAAAAAAAACACTACCTTCCCCAATTCCCATTAGCCGCGTTGGCATTTAAACACATTAATTAATATTCACATTTGAAAATAACCTTGATTTAACGACTTCATTTTTGTTTTATTTCATATAATTGAAACTACTAATCAACCTATACATATTCCTTTGATGCTGGCCACTACTTCAAGGCATCAGTAATCTTTCCTTGAGGAGTTCTTATTGGCCTGGACATTTGATCCTTTCTAACTTTAAAAAAAAAAGGCAAACTACCGTTCCTGTTTACTGTTTAGACTTCAAAAAAAGGAAGAAGCTCAAAGCTTTGGGTAGATATGGAAGAAAAGAAATGCCTGGATACTTATAAAATTTCTAAGAAAACCCCAAAAGAAACCAATAATTAAGCCATAAAAATAAAACCAAAAATAAAAACTAATGAAAAAGACAAGAAGACTTAAAATAGAGCAAGAAAACAATCCATAATACACATAATTTGCCAGTAAGGACAAGTGGAGCATGTGTCTCAACAACCAAGCACAAATCTGTGGTACATAACATAGTAAGTTCCCATAATATTAATTAAGCCGAAGGAGCAATTCCCAGCTATAATGGGTTTTATCCTTCACCAGGCCTCTTCTTTTGTCTTATAGAACCATGCATGTTTTGTCAATGGCGTCCCCAACAACTGGTCACAGTGCACAATATGCAAGGCAATCCCTAGACCATGGCCCAGAGGTGTCAATAGGATGATTTGGGTTTGAATTTATCATTTTGGGTCGGATAATTTGGAGTCAAAGAAAATTTTGATTTTTCGAGTTTGTCGTTTGGATTATTCAGATTGAAATCATTTCACATCATATTTTTTTCCTTATTAAGTGAAACGGTTAGTAAAATCCATTCAATTAATTTCTTGATAAAAACACTTAGAACCTATCATTATGTCAATAATGATATATCAGTGAAATCAATTATTATCATATGGCCAATAAATTAGAGATGCCAATCAAAAGCCCATTTGGATTAACACTTTTTAACTTAGTTTAAAATGAAAATTTTTTTATGGTTCTATATTTGTTTGCCAGCACAAAAGGTCAAATTATCTGGAATTACTGTAGCCAATTTGCAAAATTATTGTGTAGTTTAAGCCAGCAATAATTTCAAATGGGCCCTTTTGCTTCTATCGTGTCTGGGTCCAAGTCACGTGCTCTGCTTCCGGTAGCCTGCGAGCCCACCGAGGAGCGCGTGAAGTTTACGATGAAATGAGAGTGAGACGAGACGCAGAGCCGCAAGTGACCTCCCGCCCTTCTCTGTACAAAGCACGTCCACCGACCGCACGTGCGCTACGTTTTTATTGATTATTCTAAGGTTCAGAAATCAGAATGTTAAAATATAGAAATAAAAAAAAAAAAATTACAGTGGCTTTCGATTTTAAAGGCGAGATAGGTACGTAAAGATAGAGTGTTTTCCTCGCGTGGGTATAATACCCCTCCTCAACTGAGATGTCAGAGAAAAAACGACACAGTTTTTTGGATGATCACTTGGACATGCAAAATTACAAAGATAATTGAGAAAGTGGGCTTGGATTCAGCAGCAAAAGAAGAAAATGAGCAAGAAAATCCAAAGCCCATATGGTTCGGGTAAGATAAAACGAAGCCTAGCCATTGCAATGGACCCTACCATACAGATGGAGCCAGCTGTGAATTAGGATTGATTATTCCCATTCCTTAACCCCTATACCGCGTAAAAGAGAGCAAAAAGTTGTCGTCGCGATTGAGCGGTCAAAACTTCTCTAAGAAGCTATCTCATACCAAATCGAACCTCAAAAACGCAGCTGCGACACGCGATTTGTATCTGATCGGATCGTCGCAGCCTGCCCCCAATTCATTTCAGACGGTTTTCGTAGTATCGATCGAACATGAGTTTCCTCTTTGGCAAGCGAAAAACTCCCGCAGGTATCATTTTTTTTTTAATTTTTAAAATAATTAGAAATTGTATTAATAACGAAGAAATCTAATGATTTTTTTTTTCTGTTTGTGTCGTTTTGGATTTGATAAAGTGATTCCCAGATAGAGGGTTTTAGCAATTGGGTAATTAAGTGATTAAAATAGGAGTTGATTGTATTTTACTGATTGTCATATTTGAAATTGAATAAAATTTTTATTTGAATTGAAAATTTCGATATAGAATGGTAAAATTCTGTTAATTTCAGAAATAGTTATGAATTCTGCTAATGAAACCAATTTGATTGTTTTATTGTGTTTATTTTATTTAATTTTGGGTATTAAGATCGATTCATTGCATGGATGTTTTGTTGGTTCATATTTGTAACAGTGGAGTTTTACAATTTATTGAGCTTTATCACCCTAGTGTCGGAAAGATCAAGCAATCAGATTAGGTGAATTGTGCATTTTTTTTAATCTTTTGCCCTTGTTTGCTGGGTTCTGGAGGTATTTAGGCAGTGAAATTAGATGGTTTGGATTAAACTCTGTTGGTCATTTTGTATTGAGATATAGGTTAATATCTAACTGTATTAATGGTTTTTGGTTTCAGAGCTTCTGCGGGAAAATAAGAGGATGCTGGACAAATCTATTAGAGAGATAGAGAGGGAGAGGCAAGGTCTACAGACCCAAGAGAAGAAACTCATTACAGAGATAAAGAAAAGTGCAAAGCAAGGGCAGATGGTGAATCTATGTTTCTACACTGATAGTGTTTTTTTTTTTTTTTTCTGGTCTTTGTACGTATGTGTTGTTAAATTCCTCTTAAAAGTAGTTTGTATTGGATTAAGTGCTTATCTGCTTGATAAATTTATGTTCTTTTAGTCAATCATGAGAAAAAAGTATCTCTATTTTTCTGGGTATTCATGAGGTTGCTTTATTGGTGATTTTAAATATGAACATATGTGATTCTATGCATGATGGCTCTGTTTTATGTGTGAATGGCATGTTTGGAAGGATTAGTTTGATTTGTATATGATCGTTCTCTAGCACTTTCACAGGTAGACATCATGCAATTTCTATGAAAAAGTTGATGTACTATTTCTTCCCACTTAAAGAAAATGCATTGATTATATTTGTCACAGTTTGTTCTTTTGGCATTTTGGCTGCTTGAGTTATGTTTACGTCTATTTTGTATCATATTAGCGAGTGATGCAATCACTTCTTTTCTCATTGTGCTTCAAGATTGTATTTTCCATCTCTCATCTTGGGGAAACTAGGTTTCTTATAACTACTAGATAACTACTAGACTTATAAAAGTTATTGTACATGATCTATGTGTATTAAACATGAATGAGCTTTCATGCCCACTTGGCCTATAACCTCAAAATGTTTTAATTGATGGAATCTTATTTCAGGGAGCTGTAAAGGTGATGGCAAAAGACCTTATCCGAACACGGCATCAGATTGAAAAGTTTTATAAGCTTAAATCACAGCTCCAGGGTGTATCTCTTCGAATTCAAGTATGTATTGTTATCTATCCGTTTTATCTCTGTGTCAATGACTTGAAGTGTGCAATTTGTTTTTCATCGAAGTGTGGGGCCTATTACAGAAAGTTTTGAAATATGGCCTGCACCATGCATAGGAATAATATGAGTTTATTTTGTTTGCCAAAATGAAAAAAAAAAGATAAGTTGAAAGATCAATCTAGCTCTATTCTTATCTGAAAATGTTTTTAAGAGTTGAGGGATAAATACTTAAATTGAGCAGTCAACAAATGTGATGAGGAGATACACTTTGTCTACTGGTTCTCTCTGGCAGTGGAAAAACGAATTGTGTGAGAAGCTGACTTCTAAAATGCCCTAGGCTACTTGAAGTGCGTTTCAAGATTGAAGCCTTGTAAATTTTACAAGTTAATTGCAATTTTTGATGTTATTACCTATGTATCATAAAGTTTAAAGCCGGACCAATTTTCTGTACAACATCCAGACATTGAAATCAACACAAGCAATGGGAGAGGCAATGAAAGGTGTGACAAAGGCAATGGGCCAGATGAACAGACAGATGAACTTGCCATCCTTGCAGAAAATTATGCAAGAATTTGAGAGACAGAATGAGAAGATGGAGATGGTGACTGAGGTGATGGGTGATGCAATTGATGATGCTTTGGAAGGGGATGAGGAAGAGGAGGAAACAGAAGAACTGGTGAACCAGGTTCTCGACGAGATTGGAATTGACATCAATCAAGAGGTACTATTTTCACCAATTCTTTTCAATATACTGCACATAGCTTAAATAGGCTGCCATTCCTGCCCATATTAAGTTGTTAAGATGTACTGACTATGCTTATTTTGATATGATTCACAGCTTGTAAATGCACCATCAGGTGCTGTTGCGGCACCAGCTGCAAAGGGTAAGGTTGCGCAGGCAGAAGCAACTGGGAATGATGACAGTGGGATAGATAGTGATTTACAGGCAAGGTTAGACAATTTGAGAAGGATGTAGTAAGTATGCCTAATCACTTATGTATAATATAGACATCATCTCTATGTTGGAAGGTAAAAGTGCATTTGGATTGTAACATTTGGGAAAACTGTACCAGAGTTTATTGATTCAGGTTCTGGAAATACATTGAACTATAATAAATTACTTTTTGTAAATTTATACATGCTTTGGCAGTAAATAGGTTTTGTATTCACTCAATTTCGAGTCGGCTGTGCAATTTATTGCACAAATTTTCAATTTGTTACCTAGTGTGTATATCTAAGTGTGCGCCTATTGCCTCGTTTATGTTGGATGGGCAATCATAAAAGTATAAAGGTTATGGTCCCTGAGAAACTCATTGAATGAGCTCTGGAATTGTAATATATATTGCCGAGTTTTCTGACCTTATGGGTGTCTTGCACATGTGTTGCTGTGCTGTTCCACTGGTCTGGTATTCTTAGCTTGAATTTGCAATATGGTCACTTTGGATTTTGACTTTACTGCTTGATCGGGAAACTGCACTTCCGAGCTTGGCCCCGGCATAACTTGCATTGCAGTGTTTGTAGCACATTTTGTACCACCTGCCGATAGCTGGCTGATATTTCGTTATTTCCTTTTTTTTCTGAAAGAAAAGAAAAGCCTTGCTGAAATGGGATCTTTATTCGTGCCATTGTCAGTGTGATTCCCTTCTATCAAAACTGCATTATGTTCAGCATTTAGATTGTTGCAAGAAAAAGGTGTACTGTATAGTTTATACACAACAAAATTTAACTTCTATATACATTGGGAAGTGACATGGCTGGCACGCTTAAATGCCTGGGCCCAGTTGTAGCACTAAGACGAGCTTCCTGTATCCATGGGCAACTGGCTTTCTTAATTTAGTCTCATCTCAGGCCCACAAACACCAGGACCGATACATACAGAGTTTCAGACTTTCCCTACCTAATCATAATCAATCAACAAAAGAGACAAGGCAGAGAAGAGAAGAAAAAAATCAAATGAAAAAAATGAAGAAATCAAACTGGGATGCCGGTATCCATCAAACCTTCCCCGGAATTCTCTGGTGAATTCACCGCTGTGTGTCGATGACAAAACGGAGAAGGATCCGCAGAGGCACGGCAAAGCGGGCAATCAAAATGAGAATCCAGCCACATATCTATACAAGGGGCATGGAAAGAATGCTTGCACCTTGGTAGCTCCCTCACCTCCTCTCCATCTTCGAAAACTGATAAGCAGACTGCACATTCATATTCTCCACCAGGTTCTTGAGACCCCATGTTGCTGCTTTCCTTCTTGTACTTGAAGCTTGAAAGCAAGTTCCTGCTTCGATTTTCAAAACTCTGGCTACCCGTCCTTTCTGCAAGCCTGGAAGTTGTCTGGCCAGACTCATCCTGGCGCTGCGTGCACCACCGGATGATGATAAGGTTGTATATAGCCAGCACGATAGCAGTTGTTCCCACAACGAACAGGCCGTAATAAAGCATAGGCAAATTTGATTTTGCAGAAAGGGAAGGAGAAGAAGGGCTTGGAGTGTCTCCCATATTGAAAAAAAGAGGGGTTTTTCAGATATGGCAAAGGATTTACATAGGAGGTGAAGATTATATGTAGAGATAATAATCAGAATCATGTACATGACATAATAAAAAAACAATTGGTAGCTAATCTAAAAGCCGTGGTTGTTAAGTAGTCGTGAAGAAAAATGTTGCATAAAATCTTTGGCCAAAAAGAATGAAGACAAAGCAAACGTGCAATCACTAGACAGTGAACAGGGTGGTGGTGAAAATGATTAAATTCTTGATAAGAAACCTCTCCTTCTCTCTTATTTTCTTTACCTATGGACAACAGAATACGTGGAAAATTTAGTTGGTGCACGAAATCTATGGATGATCCAACCATGAGTGAGCTGAGCGACCAATCAGTTCTCTTAGAAGCATACAATAGTCGAAACAAGTCATGTGTCTCTTACGAAGATTGAATTGTTTTTATTCACGGCTAGTTGTAAGAGTCGAATCTTTTGGCACAGTCGAGTGCGCAAGGCCTAACAAGAAGATGGCCCAGCCTTCTGATAATTTCATTTGAAGGGGTGGGTCGATCCTCATTGACAATTGTATGTGTGAAAAAGATAAAAAAAAAGTAATTTTGTAGAATTATTTTAAGTTAAAATAATAGGACGGTGGAAGATATGCTAGTGAGAAAAATTTTTAAATTTTAAAATTGATTCGAAATTATAATGTGTAATTTGATTTGGATTAGTTTTTTTTTTTTATTTGATTTAGATTAAGTTTGAATATTATATATATATATATTAGGTTCGAATTGAATGACAAAAAATTAAAAAAAATTAATTGAATTATATATTTTATATTTTTTATATGTATTTTAAATTTGTATAAAATAAAATAATAATTTTATATCAAAATTTATTTTAATATATTAAAATTTTATATTAAAATAATATATAAAAATTAAAAAATTATAAATCAATAAATCAAATTAAATTGATAAAATTTGATTCAATTTGAATCAAATAAATATTTTATTCAAATATAAATCAAATTTTAAAATTTTTTAATATTATTTAATTAAAAAAATCAAATCAAATTTAATCTAAATCAAATCATGTTACCTTAATCTGCCACATGCCTACTAGAAAAAAAAAGAATGAGCTGTAAGGATCCAAGCTAGATAAGACTTATAATGAACTCCTTGTCGTTTTTTAAAGCCACGATTTTAAGTTTGGGTCAATGATGAGAAATTATATAGATTTGTCTTTGTATGTACTTTCTTTGGTAAAAAAATACTTAGTATATTCAGATTGTAACAGTATTTGTAACAATATTCCATGTACTTAAATAAATTAAAGGGTCATCAAAAGTCAAAACACAAAAGAAAACAAGTGAACACCTTTCCTTTACCTCTTTTTTTTTTTTTTTATTTAAAGCCCTTTCAATTAGTTCCTGAAACTATTCGTTGCAAAACCTCATATTGATTTCTGGTTTTCGCTAGCCTGCATCGAACATGACAGTATCAGAACAAGCAGAGAGAAAAGTAGAGGCTAATTCAGTTGCCCAAAGTTCTATATAGAAAAGTGTAATTGACTTACGTTTGTGCTTCCTACCTTGCGGAAAATGATTGTGGATTTTAAGAAATGCTTCTTCTGAACAAATAATTTCAGCAAAAATAAAAGAAAAATGGTGTCATTGTTACCACTTTTAGTAGTAAAATCTTATATAGTCAAAAATAATAGTAGTAGTAAGGAACTAAGGTTCTAACATAACACTGAAATTGCTTTTGTTTAAGGGAAGCTTGCCCAGCCAAAGAAACAGAGCCAGTCCAAATTTAGAAAATTTTAAAAGAAGTGGCTCAAATCTCCATCTGTGACTGTAATTGCCTAGGTTTCAAACATATGCACTTGACATATTTAGTTATCAGAACAATTTTACTATTGACAACATTCTTTCCTTACAAGTCAAAAGTAGGTTAGGACTATTTCTTGACTTTTGACAACATTCTTTCTTTACAAGTCAAGAGCAGTCCTTTTTTTTTCTTGGGTAAAATTCTTGACCGATATGAAACTCCATCACCTTCTTTCTTATTCCTCAAGTTTTGGAGATTGTGTTATTTGAACAGTATTCCAGTTGGCAGTATGGGGGAAATTTTCAAGTTATAGGAATTTTCTCGAATGAAATAAAGTAGAGAGTTGCAGGGTACCAGGTTGTTTACTAGAGAGAAAAGGGCCTATCCTATGACATCTCTAGTCTTTGAAAACTCGTCTACAAGTCCAAAGTACGTTAGGACTAAGCAATCACCCTTTCTTTTCCCTCAAGTTTTCTTAAATTTATATTTGGAAATAAAACTTCTCCCATTACTATTCCTAGGACTCCTTGTCGTTGCAGGAGACAGATTATCCCTCTATATATATACATTGAGCGGTAATTCTCCCGCTGTGTTTAACTAAAGTTTTAATCTCTTTTTTTTTTTCTTGTGCTTCTTTCCTTGCTTTTCTTTACTCTTCTCAATGGCGCCCTGTAATGTTAATTCTGATTTATTGTTTGAAATTTTATCGAGAATGGAACTGAAGACGATGAGGAGGTATAGAATTCTCTCGAGGGAATGTAACAGTCTCACTTATGAATCAAGCTTCATGCGGCTTCACTGTCAGAGAACAAAGACAATAGCTGGATATTTTGTTCAGAGTTTAAGAAGCAATCGGTACCATTCAACGTTTCTGTCCATAGACAATCCAGGTCTTGACCCCGGGTTAAGCCTTGATTTTCTACCCGATCGGTCTCTGGAGATTCTAGCTACTGTTGATCAAGGTCTGATGTTTTGCATGAACCAAGGTCCAGAAAACCGTCATTATATTTGTAAGCCAAGCACTCGACAATGGGAAGTTCTGCCGAGTCCAAATTCTCGATATTTTACTAGAAAGACAGCCATGGTGGTGCTTCGGTCAGACCCTTTGCGGTTCAAAATAGTCCGACTTTCAGATGGTGAGTACAATGACTCAGAGCTTGAGTTGGAAAACTCCAAGCCAGAGGTTGATGATTATGATTACAAACGCTTTCAAGTTGAAATTTTTGATTCAAAGATATGGGCATGGGAGCAACTAGATGATTTAATGTTGTCTTACGACGAGTTTTTCAACTCCAAGCCTGCCGTATCTGCATATGGTGGGCTGCATTGGCTTACTTCCAACAAAGAAAAAAATAACATATTATCCTTTTATGAAGATACTGAGAGTTGGGAGTTGGTTTCACTGCCAAACGCATTGTGGGAGAGATACTGGTATTCTGTCAATTTAACAGAATACGAAGGGAAATTGGCATTCATTTGCGTGAGTCCAGATTTCATCGAATTATGGGTCCAAAATTATTATGGAGAAAAGTTTTGGACTAAGAGAGACTCGATAAATTTGAAAAGTTTTAATCAAAAGATTGGTCATTCTTCAGCAAATTCTTTTTACAATGCTGATATTCTCTTCATGAATAGCTTATTCAGCGCAATTTTTTATAATTTCAAGACTGGTCAATTTAATCGGTTAGAACTTCCGTTGAAACACATGCATATTGACTCTGCGTTTTTTATTCAAACAGATTCTAAGCCGATCCGTTTCAGACAACACAAAAAATCTTTTGCATCGAATATTTTCACATTACTTATCTTTGTAGTATTTTTGCTTTTTATTTTTGTTTTAACTTGTTGTATCTTAGATTTGTAAACTTGAATAATATATATTTTATAGTTAGATTTTTGTTTATCTTTTAATTTGTTTTTGTATGATTGTAATATTATTTTGTATATTTTTTAAATTTAGTTTTTTTTTTTAATAAAAAATCCAAAAATAAATAAATTATTCAATCTTTAAATCAAAGTAAAATATCTCATATCTGACAGTCTAAAACAGATGATTACAAGTCGTACATTTAAAATTATTTCAATAAATAATTACCGATAAAATTTAAATTCAAAACTTTTTTATTTAAAAAAATGAGCTTAATTAATTAAATCAATCAATTATTGATAATTTAATTTCATATTTATTACTAGGATTTGTGCCACTATAATTATCTAAAACCGGGAGAATTTATGATATTTGTCAGAATAGGACTGCGAGCAATTGAACTAAAATCTAATTAGCCGTCCTCTTAATCATTAAGTTTAGGAATATTTAATTACTAAAAAAAACTGAAGTAATTCGGTAAGAAATTGACATTCTCTTTTTGGATTAGGTGTCCGCTGTCCGCATGAATGAACAACCAAAGGATGAAAACCTTAGTTTCTTTTGAACATTTGGGCTGGAGCCAGTATTATTAGATCCATGCAATTTTATTTAGTTATTAAAAACTAATATAATTAATGAGAGTTAATTTGGTATTATATTTAGTCTTTTTTTATTTATTTAATTTTAATATGATGTATAAATTAAATAAATAAGTAATTTACAAAAACAATACGACCATCTATATGATACTAACTATTTTGTTTGTTGGTTTTTTTTTTCTTTTAATTTAAAGATAAAAGTCCATTTTTATATACTGCTAATGCAGTTATTATATTAATTTTAAGATAAATAAATGTTAGGTGATGAGAATTGATTTGATAGGAGTAAGTATGTACTAATTAGATGTTCTAGAAAATTTATGAAGTTGCATGATTCTAATAGTGCAAAAAAAAATATTTATTTTGGATGATTCTAATGCAGTTTGAACTTTTACGAAAAGATCAAATCATGTGAAAGTTCAAAGAAAAATACGCGTTTGTGCTTTGTGCATGAACCAACCACTACCACACCCATCTCACGTGTTTTTAACATGATAACATTTTTATTTCTTTACGTTGTAAATAACTGACTAATTATCAACATTTGCACACAAAATTTATACTATGAGAATATTTGAATTTTTTTATAGGTAGATACAATATTTTTTCCCAATGTGTTTGATTGATTAATTTCATAAATTTTCATAGTACTACTATTTCTATAAAAAAGATATGGGAAAATTTTTAAAATAATTTTGAAGTCATTTTGAGTTATTAACTAATAGTAATATCAGAATTGAACTGCAAGAAATGGTAACTAATAGTAATTGAGTATGCTCTTAATAGTTTAAGAATTGTTAATTACTAAAAAAAAAAAATTCTTTTTGGATTGGGTGTCCCATAGATGGGCTATCTCAAGGATGTAACCTTAACTACTTTGAGCATTTGGGCTGGATCCTGTATCCATTCTCATAACAAACAATCCAAAGGGAACTTTAACTAAACTGCTTGGATCTGGATCTATAATAACTGAGGTTTAAATTGTAAGAGCCCCATTTTACTTGTCATTACAATTTAAACATTTGACTGCACTCAATATTTAATTCAATAATTAGTACCCATTTTAGTTGTCATTACAATTTATTATTGCTTCGATATGAATTTAGAGATGTAATTGAATTGAGTCAAATCGATATAGTGAGAAGTTTGAGTTTGAGTTTGATATTTAAGGTTCGATACTCGATTCGAATTCGATCGAATTTCATTTTTTTAGCTTGAATTCGATTCGTGATTGAAATCGAGTTACTCGATTAAGTTCGATTAATATGTTAAAATAAGTTTGATTTTTATATTCGATAAGAGTGCGATTATTTATGCTCGAACTATAACTTTAATTCGAAATATTTTATTAATTAAAATAATAAAAAAAATTAAATATAAAAACTTAATTAAATTTGTGAGCTACTCAAACAAAGTATAAGAATACTTGAACTCGGCTCGAGCTCAACTCGATAAAAATTAAATCGAATTCAAATTTTATTTGAATCAAACTCAAATAACTTACGAATACTAATATATCATTTACATTCCTATCCGAATCTATGATAACTGAGATTCAATTATAAGAGCCCCAATTTAATTGTCATTACAATTTAAAGATTGTAGTACCCCATTTTAGTTTTCATTACAATTTATTAATTCAATAATTAGTACACGTTGTATATAAAAAAAATACAATATTAGTCATAATTGGGCTGCAAGAACCTTGTATTGAACAATAAATAAAATATTAAATATTTATTAGATATGCGATAATTTATTTTAATAAATTAAAAGATAATTAAAATTTTTTTAATTTTGATATTATATTAAGTATTTAACTTAAAATTAATTAATAATAAATAAAAAATTTAATTTAATATAAAAATAAAAATATTAAATATTTATTAAATATAAAATAATTTATTTTAATACCATTTACTCAAATCATTTATCAACTAGATTAGTGTGATAACAGTTGCGAACATTTTTTTTTTTTTGTCTATTTAGAAGTCAAAATCGGCTACAATCTTCAAAAAAATCGACTGCTACTTCTGTTTCCGCTATGCTGTAACACTCTATAAGTTTCTAAACACAAATTACTTGTGCTAGAAAATTGACTTGGTATTTGCCAAAATTAGCCTTATATCCAACCTAAACCATAAAGCCGCCAAAAAAGAAAAAAACAGCTTATTGAATATGATATGATCCTCGTGGATGTCATTAATCCCATTGTTAAAAAAAAACAGCTGTTCCACGTTTACTTGTTTAAAAACAAAATTAATGTTTTTTTTAAATGGAAAACCAAATTTGCAAACCTGCTCCTCAGCCTCCACAAACAGTCTGCTCCAACTCAGCCGATCCTTACCACTTGAGCGATCTCATCTGCTGCTATTGACTAAAAGCACAAGATTAACATTCCCATTGTACTTTCATCAGACTCTTCAATATTGTAACTTTCCCAACATAGAAACTTTAAAAACTTCATCTACTCAACACACAACCCAATCTGTCAACCCACTTTGAAATGTTTTTCCCAATTTTATTAGAGAAGTTGATTGCAATCTGCCTTGAATATTAAGCATAATAATAAACTACTCCAAAATTACTGTTACTATCATGGAGGACTTTCTAAAAGGGTACAATTTGTGTCTTGTTCTTTTATAGCTGGTCAGGACTGTAGCAGTTTTATTTTGAAAGGAAGGTAGCCCGCGAACGCAAACGGGCCAGAGGCAAAGCTGAAAGTCTGCATTTGTCTCTTTCTTTGTATTTCTTCTTCTCAGTCAACTATTTGCAGCTCCAAACAGAACATGGTTGTTGGTCGGCAAAAACCTTAGCTTTGTGTTTAACTCTATTGGCTTTTAGCCTTCCTGTCTTTCTCTTTTGTTGGAAACTATTGCTATATTTATTGTTGTTGAAACCAATTAATGCACTTTGCGTTGTCTTAAATCAAAGGATCGTCTTCAATCTTCTCTTCCGAAGAAAAAAATTGTCTGCTTGTTTCCTGTGCAAAAGCAAGAAAATTTAACCCTTATTTTCTATCTTCCAATTTCCCTGGAAAAATAAACAGAGACTGGGCTAAATTTAACCCTTCTTTTTCTGTTTCTTTTAATGGTTGAGTTAGCTGCTTTGCTGCCAAGTTTCAATTTGACCTGCGGAAACGTGAAAACCTTTGCTTTCACTAGGCAAATGCAAAGGCTGAGCTTTGCATATTAGTAATTGAAATCAAGTGGGTAGCTAGGGTTTCAAGAGAAAAGAAAGCTGAAATGGAAGCTGGAAAAGGCTTGTTGGAGAAAAAAGGAACAAACGATGTTGTCCTCCAGATTTCAAGCCCTGAAGATTCTTTTGTCTTCAATAAAGAAAACAATGATTCTAAAGTTTTTTCTTCAATGACTGAAGCTGGATCTTACTCTTCTCCAAAGAATCTTGAGATGAAACAGCTTGAGAATCTTAGAGTCCAAGTCTCCACTCCGGTTGCATCTCCTTCTCCTTCAGGTGAGATTTCAAGGATGAGTCCAACTCCCAATAAGCCGCCAAAAGTTCCCACTGATAAGAAGCTTACTCCAAGAAAGTCCCTTAGAAAGTCAGCGTTTTCGAAGCCAAAATCAAGATTGGTGGAGCCAGCCTATCCAAATGATGCTAAATTGGTGGAAGAAAAGAGTATCCAGATGGTGAATTCAAGCTCATCACCTCATCGGAACTCTCCTGCTGCTGCTTCACCAAGCAACAAAGTTGCTACTCCTAAAGAGATTTTGAGATCAGCTCCCATTACTCCAAAAACGCCTTTAATCTCACCAGGTGTAGAGGAGGAAGATGAGGAGGACGTTTACAAGACTGCTGATCTCAAAGTAAGTGAAAAATCAGGTAAAAAGTGGAAATTTTTACTTCTGGTCGAGTTTGTAGCATTTATTTGCATTATGGGGCTTTTGATTGCTAGTTTAACTGTGCACAAGCTGGAAAAAACGAAGATTTGGGATCTGGAATTGTGGAAATGGTGTGTATTGATATTGGTCATTTTCTGCGGTAGATTGTTTACCGAATGGATGATGAATATTGTTATTTTCTTGATTGAAAAGAACTATCTGCTTAAGAAGAAGGTTTTATATTTTGTTTATGGACTGAAAGGGAGTGTTCGGGTATTTGTTTGGTTGAGTTTGGTCCTTCTAGCATGGGGTTTGTTGTTTCAACTTGGAGTAAAGAGATCAAAAGAAACCAATCGGGTTCTAAATTATATTACTAGGGCTCTTGCTTCCTTTCTCATTGGATCAGCTATATGGCTGGCGAAAACCCTTTTTGTAAAGCTATTGGCTTCTTCTTTCCAATGTACAAGATTCTTTGATAGGATTCAAGAATCAATTTTTCATCAGTACATTCTTCGAAATCTATCGGGGCCTCCAGTTATGGAGATGGCAGAAAATGTTGGGAGTTGTACTAGCACTGGCCAGTTGAGTTTCAAGAATTTGATGAAGGACAAGGGAGGGGAAAAGCAAGAGGTGATTGATGTAGACAGGCTTAAGAAAATGAAGCAAGAGAAAGTATCTGCTTGGACCATGAAAGGATTAATTAATGTGATAAGTGGTTCAGGGTTGTCTACTATTGCTAATTACATTGAAGATGTTGATGATGAGGAGAGTGAGCAAAATGATAAGGAAATAACTAGTGAGTGGGAAGCAAAGGCTGCTGCTTATCGGATATTCAAGAATGTAGCAAAGCCTGGTAGCAAGTGAGCATATCTAACTTATTGGAACTCTTCAATTTTATAGTTCTTTGTTTTGTAATTGACTCACCTCTTTCTAATTAATGGAATAGGTACATTGAAGAGGAAGACCTCTTGCGCTTCATGAAACAGGAGGAAGTAGACAATGTGCTTCCACTTTTTCAAGGAGCTGTAGAAACTGGAAAGATCAAGAGATCAACTCTAAAGAACTGGCTGGCAAGTGCTTTTTACTTTTTATGTAATATGTGCCTATTTTAGTATTCTACATTAATTTGGAGGATTTGGATTATTGTTTCATCTAGTATTTGTTCAAACACCGTCAGGTCTCTGTTTGAATGCAATTTTTGACATTTCAGCTTTAAGTATACAAAAGTAGATTGGTGTAATAGTTTTTGCTGCAAGTATTTGTAAAATGAAAATATTGTCTTGAAATTTTTTGCATATAAGTAATTGTTGTAAGTTATGAAGTTATTGAGCATCATTTTAGAAGTTTTTTGCTTATGCAGTGAACCGCTGCTTGGTTTCAGGTGAATGTTTACCTTGAACGCAAATCTTTGGCACATTCCTTAAATGACACCAAGACAGCAATTGAGGAGCTGAACAAGCTTATCTCAGTGATTCTGCTTGTTGTGATCATCATTGTGTGGTTACTTTTGATGGGATTCTTAACAACCCAAATACTTGTCTTCATTTCATCTCAGCTTTTACTTGTGGCTTTCATGTTTGGTAACACTGCGAAGACTGTATTTGAAGCCATCATATTTGTATTTGTGATGCACCCATATGATGTTGGTGATCGCTGTGTCATTGATGGAGTACAGGTGAATGACTAATCCAAGAAAACATGTAATTCTATTATATCAAGATCACCTTGATTGACATATTTTTCCCTTCCAGATGGTCGTTGAAGAGATGAATATTCTGACAACAGTATTTTTGAGATACGACAACGAGAAAATAATCTATCCAAATTCAGTTTTAGCTACCAAACCAATCAGCAATTTTTACAGGAGCCCATAGATGAGTGATTCTGTGGAGTTTACTGTTGATGTTTCCACATCAGTAGAGCAAATTGGAGCTTTGAAAGCTAAAATAAAAGAGTATATTAAACTTATTATCTTTGCTGGAGTTCTGCTGCAATTCTTGAAATATGTCTGAATTATCTTTGTATATGACTCTGCAAACATTCTTTCAGGTACCTGGAAAGTAAGCCTCAGCATTGGCGCCCTGGACATAGTGTACAAGTTAAGGACATTGAAAATGTGAACAAGATGAAAATGGGTCTCTATGTTAATCATACCATAAACTTTCAGAACTATGGGGATAAGAGCAGCCGGAGATCCGAACTAGTCTTAGAACTGAAGAGAATTTTTGAAGCTCTAGATATCAAGTATCATCTTCTGCCTCAACAAGTTCATGTCAGCTATGTTGTTGGTTCTCCAGCTTCAGCGTTTCATCAACCTACTCGATGATGGTCTCATTTCTACTTTAAGCTTAAATTCTCTCTGCATTAAGCATGGTGTGATTAAATAATGCCCAAGCAAGGAAAAATGGGTGTTTGATATGATTCTTCTAGTTATTGAAAAAAAAAATGCTTATATTAAATAAATGCCACGAATGGAAAAAATGCTTGATATGATTCAAGTTTTGGATGGGTTCAATTTCATTTTCATCTTCTGACTCTGATGTCGTAAACTCAGCATTGGCCCAATAAAGTAGTTGTTGGAACTGGCCAGCGGCCCATCTAATGAGCCCAAAGCTGGAATAGCTAAGAAGCACAGAAGCCAATAAGAAATCAGACTTTCTGGGTTGTGGCAACCCATAAAATTTCTCTCCAAATTTCGAACTTGATGGGGATTGGACCAATAAGATAACCTTATCCATCAATTCCAACTTGGGAAGCTGCCACGTAGGACATAGATAGAGAGATGTCAAGGCCACCTGATATCTCAAATTTCCACCTCTCATTATTCCCCTCTCCGTTCCCCTGCTTTCAAAACACCCATGCAATACCCCCTCTTTATTTCATAGTAAAAATTCACAAAAGGGAAGTCTTAGGTTATTAGAGTCAGGGTGAAGAGAAAAGAAAGAAACCAATGGCTTCCACTTCAGCTGTTTCAATGTCTCTGCCATTAACTCGTGCAAGCCAAAATAGGGTGCCAAGTTCCGAGACTTTCTCTAACTTTAAGCCACTGCCAGTCAAGCCATCAAGGGCAGTAGCAACTACAAGACCCAATGGAAGGCTTGAAGTCAAGGCATCATCTTCACTCAAGGAGAAGGCAGTCACTGGATTGACAGCTGCCGCCTTGACAACATCCATGATGATCCCTGAGGTGGCTCAAGCTGCTGATGGAGTTACTCCATCTCTCAAGAACTTCTTGCTTAGCATTGTAGCTGGTGGTGTTGTGCTTGCTGTCCTTGTTGGAGCTGTAATCGGTGTGGCCAACTTCGACCCCGTCAAGCGGAGCTGAGCCATATAATTCTGAGATGCTGGTGAATTTTCTTTTAAAGAACCTCTTTATGTACCCGTTTAATGTTTCCAGTGTTGAACTATTTGTCTTCTGTGTGAGTGTAATTTGTGGCTGCCATGGATGTAATCTGGCTGGGACCTAGTGTGAATTCTCAAAATTTCTATTTTTCTTTACACAACCTGGAGAATACTATTTCCGTTCTCCCCTGCTGAAATGGAACAAATCTAATGCATAAATTGCTGTGGCACAAAGCCTTGCATATCATCATGATTGATCGTGTAAAACAGTAATCAACCTCTATGTAGGCAAAGCAAATGTTAGCTTGCTATAACATTTTCAAACTAAACCGTAAATAAAAGATTGCCTGCGCTGGCGGCTTGCTGCTAAATCGTGGAAAGAAACAGAATCTAATGCAGCAATTATAGCCACTATAAAATCTTCAAAGGTCTCTACAAATATTTTGATTAATTGACACTCAAATTTTGAATCACTTAAAGCAATTATGTAACCGGTAATGTCAACGAAATGTTAAATCAACAACATAGAACCAAAGCTTCAGCTCCTAAAATCATTACTTACATCCAGAATTGTTTTTTAATAGGCAAATTCTTTGTAGTCGAATCAAGAAGGTATCTGCTTTCCGCTGAGTAGTTCACCTTGTCGACCTTAACTACAGTGATTTTTACCCTCTGCTCATCGCCATAGAGTTCCTCTTTGATTTTAAGCCTGAATAGATACTGGTGAAAAAGTCTGCTGCGAATAATTTCACCAAATTTGGTATCATCCTGCAATTCATATTTCAACAAATACATTTCCTTTGCCGAGCATCCCAAGATCTCTTCCCCAGATTCCTGGAAAGCAGTTACCCATGTCAATCCTGTATGGTCTTGAATCTGAACCTGGAGAAGATACCTGTAATCACATTCCTCAAATTCTTGGTTGCAACGGTCACAGAGCCATCTTTTATTACCCGACAGTGTCACTTTCCTATTGCATTGCCTATCTCCAATCATCAATGGGCAAGCTGTGTAACAGAAATTATCTGTTTTAATGAAAACTACGGTTGCCTTTGCTGCGACCCAATCTGGCTTATCAGATCTTCCAAGACCTTCATCCTTGATCTGAGACAAAGTTTTACGTATCTCATTTTTGGATCCTCCAGGCATAATTTCTTTAGAAATAGAGACAGCAGCAGTATTCCTCCCACCTCTTTCAAACCAATCTCTCAGGCCCTGAGCCTCTGGACGATCTGGATCTATAAAGAGCTGCGTGGAAGAAATAGTGCCAATGGATTTTCCATTGAAGTCATTGACCTTTCCAGCTTTAACAGCCAAAACTGGGAAAAACCCAGAATCAACCATCTCTTGCAGCTTTTGACCTTCCTTGTTGCAGAAATCGCCCCACAGGGTTAGCTCAACACTCTTTCCAGATGCATCCTTCAAATTCAGAATTCTTCTCTGAGTTTCCATACCGTTCTTCCTCAAAATAGGAACTGAAGGGTTAACAGTTACCACGATACCAATAACATCAAGTATAGAATTGTTTTCAGCACTCTCAATTTCACTGATAGGTCTGAAGGAGAAATGTTGCCTTGGAATAGAGCCATCTTCATTAGGGCAAAGCTCCACAGTTGAATTTGATTCCAAGAATATCTCCCATTCATTCTTCAAATGGTTGAAATTCTTTTGAGCGGGTTTCAAGCTACCCTTTGAAATCAAGTAAACTTTACCAACTTCAATAACATCGTAGAAGCGGTCAACAACAGCATTGAAGCAGGTCACACGTATTTCCCCTCCATCAGAGTCAAGGAGGTCGAAGGAGAAGACCTTCCCATCTCCCCTAGCATTGTTGTAGCGACGAAGATCCCCTTTTGCCATCACTCGAGCCTTGATAGCCCAACGTCCCTGGTAAGGATTCAGAGCAGCAATAGGAATAATCCGTGCTGGTGCTTCATTCTTCATTATTGGGCCCTGAATTTTGTAATTTGGAGGTGGCTGGTACGAAGGTTGAATAGTGGGCTGGAAACTCTGGACATTGTTAGCAGGAACTTGGCCGGTATATCTATTATTGCCGGACCTCACAGAAGGCTCCAAATTGCTATTAGGCATGGACTTGTTAGTTGTTGAATCAGAATCCATAAGAATTTTTGGATTCCCAATAATTTCATACTCTGGAATTATAGTCTCCATATTCAACACAACAATAATCCTACACAGAGAGAAAAACAATAAAATTTATCCAATACTTCTTAAATGAACATATTACCAATCCTCAATCAGAAGAGCTGAGAACAACCGAAGTTCTGCTAACGTGTAGTGACTATAAGGCATGAGAGGAAAATCATTGTCCAAAACATGTAAAGTTAACCTAACTTGATTTCAAATTATAAAATTTGGAGATTGAAAAATATGATTTAATTTCCTCTTTACCTTAACCAACATTTTGAATTTTATAATGTTCTCCATAATGTCCTAGCTTTTAACCTTTAATTTAGTTATTAGGAAGGGATAGGATTAACAATAAATCATCTACTTAAAAGTTCCTTCAGCTTTGTACTCAAGGCACCAATCAAATTAAACGATTAACAAATAAATTTCTCATATCTTCAGCCAAAAAATTCAAGGCGAAATTTGCATTTTTACTAAATGAAAAGCTTAAATTAAAAAAAAAAAAAATCAGAGATAAACCTTGAATTTGATTCCGAAATTTTCTCGTACTGATTCTTCAAATTACATAATCGTATATCAACATTCAAATTAATCAAATTAATCGGCTAACTCATTAATTTGATGTCTAATCAACGATTAGAGAGATAAGAAATCTGCACCTGCGGTTACGAACAGTGCTGCAAATGTAATCGATCAACTGGATGATAGATCCTTTCTTGACTCGTCCGGTCCTGACTTGTTCATTAAGCTGAGTGGCGAGCATCGCGTGTTGAGTGGACTCGGAATCGGATAGCAGAAACCTATACCTCTCCTGAGAGTTGCCAATCAGCTTGATATCCACCACCTGAACCAATGGCTTGGAGTTCACATCGCCACCGTTGATCGTGGCAATCGCGTTGCGCGTGAGATTGACCGGCATCTTCGTCACTAAAGGTAGATCTGTGGAGCAAAAACCCTAAACACACACAAAAATAAAAAAAGAGGAAATAACAGCAGTTGCAAAAGTATAAAAGGCCTAAAACATGTGAAGGGTTTTTGAAATTTTAATGGTGAACGTTTTATACATATTAATGTTAATCAATTGGAAGAGGAGAGATAGAGCCTGGTATGATAGAGATTTTTTCTTCGATTTTTCTTGTTTTTTAAGAGGGATAGAGAGGCTAATGGCGGGGATTTGGGGGGAAATGAGATAACCGACGGAGGTGTTTTGATTTTTGAAGCGAGAAATGGGTACCAAAATTGTGTTTTATGACAATTTTACAGTTATAACCCCGCATTAGACCTCGATGGTTGACGGTTTTCACTAAACGCAGCGTTGTTGGCCTGGCTTTGATCGTATTAAAACTCGATTAGCCCAATACAGATGGCCCGAAAGATTTATGTCCGTTTCTTGAAAGGGTTGGAACACCACTCACGACTGGCTTCTGGATTATCGTACGGTGCAGTTTAGCATTCGCAGAGAGCAAAAGGATATTACAAAAAATAAAAACTCCTTGGAGAAAATTACTAATAACTTCAGTAGAGCAAAATTTGAGAAAACATCAAAGAAAGATAGTACAAAAGAACATCCAGCAAAGAAGTCTTTGGGGTCCAAATTTTGGCTACAAAAACTAGGACACTCGCATAATCCAAAAATCAAATAAATGACACTATCAGAACAGTCACGGTCGAGCTTTAAGCCACCTCGGGAAGCTCAATATCAATTGGCTCAATCTCTTCCTTCTTGATAGCTTCATCCTCCTTGGGAGGGTGGATTGTGACAAGATCAGGTAGTGGCTTTGTAGGGCCTTGCTTACCCTTGGGATCCCAATCAAGCATGATCTTGACCTTGATACCAAGTACACCCTGTGTTTAACAACCGATTAATTGATCAGATATGACAATCAAAAGGGGGCATAGTATAGTGAGTAATTGGATAGCAAACCTGTCTCAAAAGAACATGTCTGACAGCAGAGTCGATATATTCATTGACTGGATGACCAGAAGAGATCATATATCCATCCTTGAATTTCATAGATTTGGCACGCTGTGCCCTTAGTTTTCCACTAACAATAACCTATTGCAAAAGGAAGCAAAAATTATAATTTGAATGGAAATCAAATAAAGAACACGAAATTATATGAACTCCCAAATCAACTTAGTATATAAACCTCGCATCCCTTGGCACCACTTTCCATGATGAATCTCAGCACACCATAGCAGGCCCTGTAAAAACCATCCCAACTATCAGCTTGAATGCAGAAACAAGAATTTACCAACTTATAACATCAAGTTCACAAATACAAAATCAAATACATAGCATAGGCACATGCAGATGCGGAGATCAAATAACTGCACCAAAAGATGAACAATAAAATTGAGAATTATAAAAATATACATCCTCCCAAATGTTACTGCACGAAAACCATTGAATTTCAAACAGGATAATTAACGGAGGATTGGATTAATCTTGTCATCTTCCGACACAAAATGGGTATAGAAATAACCTATTTACTTTATAGATGACTAAATTCATGGTCAAAAAATGTCAATGAACAAATGGAAACATTCATTTCGAATGTATATAAGCACTAACAGGCCATCATTTAAAATCTTGAAATACATCACATTTGCTTAAAAATTGATTAGATATCGAAGTTAGATATTAAGAATAAGAAAGTTTTTGACATTTTTCCCCCCTAACTTCACTGCAAGAAAACCAAATGCATTTCAGCAGGATAATGGAACAGAGGAAATATATTATCTAATTACTTTTGTCACCTTCCGACACAAAAATTGGTAGTGAAGTACCAATCTGCTTTGTAGATGACGTTATATGACGAACCAATAACAAACCCTAATTATTTAAATTCATTTCATATATTACACATGGAAATTGCACATTGACATGACCAATAAACTTAGCATTAACAAGCTTTAAATCCGTAAAACCGAATGGATATTGAGTATGTACCTCCGGACGGCAAGACCACCAAGGAGCTTGTAGCGAAGAGACTCGGCCTGAGCAATAGCGCAAAGGCCTCTGTTATTAACCTTCTCAGCGTAAAGCTCGACGCTGTTTTCTGGGAACTTGAATCGCTTCTGAACCACTGAGGTCAGCTCCCTAATCCTTCTCCCTTTCTCACCTATAACCCCCAATTATCAAAACTTAGAACCGACGGTTAAAAATAAGCAAACCCAGTTCAGGAAGCAAGATTGTTATAAAATTACCGAGAACGTTTTGGGTGCGTGTGGCTCTGATGATGATCTCGGTGCGCATAGGAGTAACTCTGACTTCGACTCCAGAATATCCATCCTCAGCCAGTTCCCTGGTCAAGACCTCGTTGAGTTCCGCGAAGAACACTCCGTCAGCGACGAACTGATAGTAAAGACAAACAAACAAACAAAAACCAGTTTGAGAAATGACGAGACAAATGGGAAAAGAAGTGAGAAAGAAAGATGGGAAACAATACCTTTCGCTTTTTGCTGATTTGAGCTGCTGCCATGTTTTTTAGGTTTGGGCGGAGGGGAAGGAAGGGAAGTTGCAGAGAGATAAGATCTGATGAAGGCTGAAGCTCCGCAAACCCTAGCAAAATATATTTGATTCCTGACTCTAGGGTTTTTAGTGGCTTGCTTTGGGCTAAATGAAACAAAAGAGAAAAAGGTGCATAGTGGCCATGATCCCACCCAAAATCACTTTTTTGGGCCCAATTATATTTTTCTTTTTTTTTCTTCTTCAATTTATTAAATTTTTAGAATATTTTTAATTTAAAATAAATTATAAAAATTTATCTACTTATATTTTTAAAAATTAAAAAAAAAGAACATTTTAGCCCTTCAATTCTTAAGGAAGAGCTATGATTCAAGTTCAAGTGTCTGATAAAAAATGAAACAACAATTTTTTTTCTTGAGCAAACAGAATGCATGGAAACCCTCAAGCTATTGATTTCATGATTCGGAAGTTAATTATTTGCATTTATCAATGGGAGTTCTTTGAAGTTAGAACACATAGAGTAAGATCAGCACAACAGACAATGGGCTTTGGAGGAATAGTTCAGCAAGTTAAAACGATCGTCCTAGGTGACCACTGACCTAGCCCCGGAAAAAAGAGCCAATTCATCCATTAATGGGCCTACATCTTCACACATAGTTCATAGTGGCGACTCGGCCCACTCCACACTATTGGATATTGCCTATTTTAGGATAAAATAACGTTGCACATTTTATGATCATTGTGCAATATTTTATTTTTAATTTTATCTTTATCTAAAACTCAAAAGTTGAATCCAATAATTTTTTTAAAAATGTTTCAAATTCTTTCATTTTCATGCACTTGCATTAAAATATGATGAATTTTATCCCTTCCATGTCATGTGAACATCCACATCCTTTTCAAATGCACAATTATGGAGAAAAGAGAAAGTCTTTCCCCAGAGTTAGCCATCGAAAATTTCATTTAAATCGGAATATTTCATTGTAGTGTAATTAATTAATTATAATTTAAAATTTTGTGAGATTTATAAAAAAAAAAATTATGTAGAGCTTATATTTACAAGTAATAAATTTTTATATAATTTTTATTGTGATTTGATAATTATAATATTATAATAAAAAGAATTAAAGGTGATATAATTCCAAAACTAGAGCATTCATTTTCTTTAAGATTGCCCAATCAGAGTTGCAAGTAAATACATGTATATAATTTATAAAAGCAACTGCCTTTTTTTTTCGGTCACCTAACAAAAGGTTAGTTAAAAGAATGTTAAAGAAAATCCATTTTCTGCATCTTTTTAGAAGACCCAATGGGCATTTTGGGTCACCACCAACTTACTTGCTCTTTAAGCCTTCTCACCCTCCCTGTGAGCAATTTTCTTTGTAATTGTAATTAGCTAATTGAGTCCTTAACTAATTCGATTTGGTGATTTCCAAGCGATTTAACATTCAATCGTTCAAATTTTGAAAATGACAAATTTTCCCAAATTTTTTATTGATGAAAACAATATCGGATCCTACCGCCAAAAAATAATTTTCACGATTTTAATTACTTATAAATAGTTATAAATATATATATATTTAGAATAATCTAAATTTTTAAAAATCCAACAATGTATATACAATAACCATTAAGCAAAAAATCCAACAACATTTAAGATTTTTAAAATATAAAAAAGTGTGAAGCGGGCGTATATAGCCAAGGAAATTTTCTAGTTATTGATAATAACAATCTTAAATTCTTACTTGATATTGTACTTTTATGTCACCTTTGAGAGAGACGTTTCACCAATTGCAAATTGCCATTATTAATTCTCAAAAATCAAGCATCAGCTCCTTAGAATATATATTTGTATTTTTTAATGTTGTTGGTGATCATACATTTGTTGTTCAGCTTCGTATATATAAATTAGTAAGAATCGAATCCAGATTTTTTCACTTCCTTCCAAATGCTATACGCTAGTGGCTTTTTGTGGCTATTAGCTCTACAATGGTTGTTAGCCGACATTTTCCTCGCAAGAGTCTGTAGGAAAGCAAATACGATATAATTTTGTTTAATAATGTAACAATAAAGTTTAACATCGCAATTGAACTATTATTAGTATATTATAATATTTAATTTGATTTGAATTGATTTTTTATTTTCATTTTAAAAAGATGAAAAACAAGTGAAAAAAAATGAGCTTCTTAGATGATAGACAAGATAATGGGAAAAACAGTAGTAATAGATCTAAGTGAGTTGAATGTGTGTTTGGAAAATGGATCAAATGTGGTAAGAGAAAGTAATTCCCTCACCACCAAGTTGAAAAATCTGAACCAAAAACAAGCCATTTCCAGCAATCAATCATCAATTATGTGGGCCCTCTCTCTCCAAAGATCAGGAAATTAGGCTGCCGTATAATGTGGGTCCATCAACAAAGACACCTGCTCAATCAGAGAAAGAGAGCTTCTTCGGGGAATCATCAACCTGAAGGAAGTCATAAATACATTTATTACATAAAGGGCATAAAAAGGAAAATATGTATGGAAAAAAAAAGTTAGGAGAGAAAGAACCTGAAGAAGGGATAAGCACGGAGAAGTTCAGTTTCATCCCAAAATAAGGACCTTGGGCCCCTTGTCATGTTGTTGGGGTTACTGTTTACACATATCTGTCTGTCTCTTGCAACTCTAGTAGTGCTTTCTTTTAAACTACCTCTTCAGAATACTTTATTTTCCTTTACCAAATACCACCAAGAGATCCCCATTGGTTGCACCATTTAAAATAAAAAAATATAATTAAGTCAAAAGTTCATCATCTCTTATCCGAGATGCTGTTCCTGTGGTGGTGTGTGATTGGGAACCAAAAAGATTGTCTAAAGCTGCTTTGCCTTCAATTTTTTTTTTTTCCAGAGCATCGTCACAGAGATGTGTGTACCTGCTTTCAGTTCTCAACAAGCATATATTAATCAAAAGCAATATGAACATTGATTTCTCAGCAAAAGGAAAAGCTTTGGTATCATAGAGGAGGACTGAAAACAGTATCTTCAGATCTCTTCAGTTTTTGCTTCTCAGCTATGGTCTAGAAGAAATGCATGCTTTTGATTGAGGTTGGAAAGGGGAATAAAGGGTATAATGGAGAGTTTGTTTCCATCCAAAAGTAGATAATGAGCCTTCATGGTAAAGAATCTGATAGAGAAAATATTTGTAGAGAGACATTATAGATATCAGCCTTTTTTTTTTTGACAGCGAAAAAGTTGGATAAACTGAAAGCTCTTAAACCTCTTTTTCTTAACAGTGGAAATTTAAGATGTCCTGATTGCATGACAGGAAAAGATCAGTTCCTTGTTAAAAACAACCAAAAACTGAGATTTATAAGATGGAAAAGGGAAAAGAGAAAGAGAAGGTTTAATTTTAAAAGTAATTATAACCTTTATTACCCATTACCAAGATAATAACAAATGTAAAAATGAACACTCACATGCTTCATTTCAATTAGATCCAGGGATACACGGAGTTACAATGCAATAGAAGAAATTTAGACTGATTATTTTCTCTAACAAATGTGAGCAATAAGTTTGAGAACTAAAGACAGTTCATCACTAATACAAGGGGGTAGTTGCAGAATCTGACCATTTTCTGCTACCTCAACAAAGCTGTAAAAAGTTTCTTCATTGGCCACCTTGCAAAAGAATGACTAAACAAAAAAACCCCAACTTTTCTCTCTTGTTAAATCAAGCAGGCCTGTTTCTTTTGTGACCAGCTTTGCCATCTGATTTCATAGCACCACTCGAATCCCCCTCAGACGAGGCATCCATGGATCTGGTCAAGGAACTTGAAAGATCAGCATAGAGGTCAACCACTCTTCTTATGTTGTTGTTGAGCTCCCTAATTAGACCAACATTTCTGCTCAAGTTGTCAGGGATCTTGGACTCATGATTCTGGTTTATCTCATTGATCAGCAACCTATTTTGGTCCAAGATATTCTGAACCTGAACAAAGCTCTTCTCAAATGTCTGCACCACCTTGCTATCTATCTGAGTACCATTGCCAAGCCCTGAGAATGTGTCACCCTCCATTTTTTCCCCTCACTTTCTGAGTCAGAGTTCTATCAAATCAAATCCAGTCCTGAATCCAAATATTATATATGTAAGAGGGAACAAAAGATGAGACAGCAGTTGTTAAACACCACTAATATATTAATTTTTATTAATAAATAACCATAATCATATCTGAACTCTTAACATAGTTAAATAAAGCAAAAAAAAAAAACCAGACAAATCATGGAGAAGGCATTGGAATTGTTTTAAGGCATTTTGGGCATAAGAGACAAAGGACTTCAGTAGAAATCATGACCTCCAGCTCCACGGGTTCTACTTTTCACAGAAGGATCAGTTAACAAACATGAAAATAATATCAGTACATAATATTATTGTTTATTTTTATTTGTTGTTATTATTGTTGCTATTATTATTTATTTATGATGAGATGTGAAAAAGCAGATCCCATTCCATAAAAGGGGACCTTTTTTAATGTACTCAGAAAATACCCACCTAAAGCACAGAGTTTCAAAGAAGAATCTCAAAGATCAAAAAAAAAAAAAAAACTAGTCAATGATGCAGAGAAGATGAGTCTCATGATAGAGTACTATGCTGCTGCAGAGAGACAGAATTATTAATATTTTTATAACAAAAATGAAAATCAGAAATAAAAACAAAAACAAACAAAAACTTTCATATTTTAAAAAATTAAATTAAACACAAGGAAAAAAAAAACTTTTGCTTCAAATTCAGGTGAAAAAGAAAATAACAGAAAACAAGGACCTTGAATTGGGAATCCAAGAACCAAAAAAAAAAACGTACTTTTTAGTTACAGAAGCATAAAACCCATCACCCATTTTGGCAAAAGGAGTTTTTTTTTTAAGCCAAAAAAAAAATAAAAACAAAAACTTTCATAAACTCTCCAAATTCCCAGATTGAAGACCAAAAAAAAAAAAAGACTGTTAAAACTAAAACAAAAATAAGAAGCTGATAAGATCGAAGTCTTGTAAGAAAGGATAAAAACTGAAAAAAAAATTTATTTAACAACACGGGGGAAACACAGACACAGAGAAGAGATATTATTACATGTTTTTTAATTCTTTCCTCTAGATAAACATAAATAATAATTATATATTTATATACGTACCTTGAAAATCTGGAGCATTATTTTCTGAGAAGGAGACACAGATTGAAAGAAGGAAGACGAGGGATTCCCCAGGACCAGCGGGAAAAGATCGCCGATTAAATCGAATCTCAGGAACCAAACAGAGAGTTTTTCTGAATTATGTGAGAGGGTTTTTAGAGAAAAAGGATAAAGAGAGAGAATATGTAGATTTGACAGTCACGCTCCGACCCCTTTGTGTCTAAATATTTTAGTTCTATATTATTCTCTATATATATATATATATATATATATCCAAATGTTTTTATTTTATTTTTGGATTCAGGGATTTCCTTCTGTGTGCTTTGCTCAGATCCGGGGGCATGATGAGTGATTCGAGCTGATGTTCATTTTTGCCACGTGGATTTGAACAATTGATGGAAAATGCCATCTATGATGTGGGTCCCACGATCCAATATATCTTAAACAATCATGTTTTGTTTTGGTTTGCTATATTTAGATCTTTAATATTATTTTTTTTTCGGAATTTGCTGATGTATGTCATTTTCAGCTTTTTTTTTTTTTTATTCGATATGGGATTGGTTATGGAAAGACAATCAGCAAGTCAAAAATGATTTTTTTTATTAAAACATGAGTTTATAATTATACAATAAGAGAGAATATATCCATTCTTTTTTATTTCAGAATTAAAATTCGATATTTTCAAATCGAAATTTAAAGTTTTAATTGCTAAAATGTTTTTATGTACATTTATACGTACTATTTAAAATGTTTGAGATCAAATATAATCTTCAATTTTTTTTTTTTTAAGAAACAAGAAGTATTTAATTGAGTCTTGTTGTTTGAATAGTATCTCTTGAACTTATTTTGTGGTTTTATATTATATGATTGTGTTGGTTAATGATCCGATGAATTTAGATTCGTGCGGATGTAGTAATTTATTTGGTTTAATTAACTTTTCAAGTTCAGAAGCTGACACGTTATTTAATGGCAAGTCATTTAAATTTTTTTAATAATTTACATATATATATATATATATAACAATTTATTTACGCGTTGAATGCAAAAAATATCGTAATTTATAAATAAAAAATTTTAAATATTTAAATTTATTTGATGATATTTTTTAAAATTAAGTTTATAAATAAATTAAATTAAATTTTAAATTTATTTTAATCTAATGAATCATCAATCTATAATTGAGTTGGTTTAATTTTATTAACACCTCATTAATTTCTCAAATTCAAACACCAACATTGTTTGTTTACATACATATATGTATGTATGTGTATAAATACACGTATATATATCGCTTGTTTTGTCAATAAAAATTTTCCTCGATTGCAAGGAAAAATTTTAGTTATAATCTCATACATTAAATTTTAGTTTAATTGATATTTTATTATTTATTAAAAAAATAAAATAAAATATCTATCATATAAATCTAATTAATTAATGAAGTAATTTTCTCTAAAAAAAAAAGAATAGGAAAGGTGCCATGGATTTAATAACGGAGAAAAAAAAAGAAGAGAAGGGGCGGAGGGAGGAGGGAGGAGGGGCGTGGCGTGGCATAATGGTTGAGGGCTGCCCCAGGTGGTCAAGTTCCGCCCGCGGATCTTGTTTTGACCGAGAATGGGAAGCTCGCTGCAAATTTTAAATCCCCAACAATAAAATCTTACGAGCAACTGTTCTGAACTTATTAAAAACACACGCGTGTCAGATGAGGCTCGGGAGATCTAGAGGTTCGGGTCCGAGGCTATCCAGATTCCCGAGCCAAAACCTAAAATGGTTTGTTTTTTCTATGCTGGTGGGTAGGGCCGGGACCAGGTTCCCACATGAAGCCCTGCAAAAGCTAAAACTGCTGGTGGCGAAGTCCAAGGCTGATGATTTTGCGCCACAATCAGTACCTATACGAACGGCGCACTTACGTTTGCCCCCTCTCCTCTTTGTCCTCATTTCCGGTGGTTGCCTACTTCATTTATTTATTTAAATAAATAAAATATTCATTTATTTATATAAATAAAAATACAAATTTATTTACTTAAACAATTTATTCGTACATTTATAATATGACTAAAAATATTAAGTATTATTTTAAAATGAAGAATTTAAGCGAAAAAATTTATGGTCAAACTGCGAACTACTTTAATGAGAGAAACATTTATTTGTGCTCAATTATTATAATTGGTTTTTTAAATATCAAAGTTCAAAGAATTTAATTATGTCATTATTTTTTATAATTAAATTTCTTTTTTATATATTTTAAATTTATTTTTTATTTTGAATACAATTTATGAAATATCATTTTTATAAAAATTAATATTTTAATATTAAATACACAAAAATCTAATGACAATTCGAAACAGAGAAAGTAAAAAATATCTCCTTATTACAACATTTATAATTAAATGAGATTCGTACAAGCCACAAATATGAATAGCCCAACTTTAATTGTTGTGTTACTTTATGATAATTTAATTTTTTTGGGTACAATGTAGATATTTTATTTTTTTTGTCTTACTTTATTGTTTTTCTACAATAATGTTAAATGTTCATATTGCAAAATCATATAGTACTATTTTTTTGTCACAGTGGTTTTCAAATTAAATCGTTTAGCTGCTAAATTTTTTTTATCATATAATTTTTAAAATATTATTAGGATGCCAAATTTAGAAATCTTTTAGAATAAGAGGCTTGGATATTCCTCCTAATTAAAAAAGAAAAGAAAAGAAAAAAGTTACTAAATATAATTTATTATAGCTTTTAATAATTAATTCCATTTCGGACCAAAAGAAAATCCAATGGGTCAACGTCAAGCAATTATTTTTGGTTAATAATCGAAACAATAGCTTGTCTTATTGGATAAATACGCCATCCAATAAAAATAACTGATTTTTCTTTTAAAATCATAGTTTATATGTAAGAATTTATTTTTTATTTATTTAATTCATTAAAAAATATTATTCATTTAAATATTTTCCGTAATTTTCAAAAAGTTTATTAATGTGTAATATGAGTTAATAATCGAATAACAATAAAAATTGATTTTGAGGCTTTACAAAAGTTAAGAGTGATGTTAATGCATAGCATAAAACACGATAATAATACTAAATTGGAAAGATGAATTACTAAGCAAGAAATATAATTAATTGACATTGCGAAGCTTATTAGTTATCACTGATAATAATAAATATTTAAAAAATTATTATTTACCGAATTCATAAATATTATCAAATTACCAAGAATTTGCAAGCTTATTTAAAAAAAATTAATACTAATAAAAAATATGAGGTAATCTGAAGCTATCTTATTATTCAAAAAAAATTCTCTTTATGTTTCATTTTATCTGTTCATGTTTAATTTTTTTGGTTAAAGAACTAACTTTGATAAAATATAACATTAAAATAAAAGTTTTAAAAATAGGTTTACAAAAATGAAATTCAAAATTTACAAAATTTTATATATTTATGATTTAATTAAAAAAATGAAAAAATAAAACTGTTTGATAAAAATCAATAAAAAAATAAAAATAATGAAACGAAAAAGAAAAAGAAACCAACAAAATTAAACGTCAGAAGCCCATCGAAATTGACTTACCTTAGGAATCATGGGCCTCTCTTATTATTAACAAAACGATTGGGACTAATCTGAGAGTCAGGAGATAAATTTTAGTCAAGCAAAGGAGAATTTATTTATTTGGGCTTTGAATTATTATTATTTTTTACAATAAAAGAGATAAAAAAATTACAAACAAAGTCGTTTCGCTGTCTTGGTTTCATCGTGGTTTCAACCAATAAAAAAAAAAAAGAAAGCAATAAGAAAAAGCATAATACAGTACGCGACCTTGCACGACAAGCACAGGCACAGTCAGGCAAGGCAGGCAGCTAAACAGCTTGTCAGCAACCCCAATGGCAATGAACTTTTTTTTTTATTTTTTTGATCTTGTGATTTAAATTTGTTTAATCAGTATTTTAGAACTTCAATGATTTCAATGATTATCTGTAATCTCCATAATAGGTTGTCTCTACGGGAGACATTTTGACGGCAATTGTTTCAGTTCCCACTATTAAACTAATCACTCATTGCTCTCATTTTAATACCCATCATCATTAACCCATACTCCTTTTCACTTTTTAAAAATAAAAACACTAAAATTATAAAATTATACTAATAATAATTAGTCATTTCTTTACCAATCAGGGATTTGATCATTATAAAAATATTTTAAGAGTGTAATTTAAAATGCATTAATATAATGAGAAAAAAAAGTTTTTGACTGTAAATACTGTGCTATAGTGTGAAAATTGGAAAGGAAAATTTGAGAAATGCTTGATAATTTGAGAGGAGCAGTGGCACTTAAAGGACAAGCATTTTGAATGTAAGTGGGTTCCCACGTGGGGATTCCGGGGAGAAAATTAAAAAAAAAGTGAAGGTGACGGAAGAGAGCAAGTGGGTGACGATGAGCCCCCGGATGGGAGCAGCTGCATGAGCAGAAAATGTGACGCCACTTATTGCCAATACGGTACTCCATCAGACAGTATTTGGATTGCATTTTGTCCACTCTGCCATACTTTTGTTCACTTTCCCCTCTGTGCTGTGGGTCTGGTCTATCTAGGAATCCCAACTTTCCCAGATTTCTGTTTTCTACTGTTGTTGCTGGCTTCTTGCCAGAGTTTCAATTCACGTTCTTACCTACAACAAAACGTTTTTTCACCCAAATACTAGGGACAAATACGTAGATAATCAGTGGAGAAGGACAAAAAGTTCCTTTGGTTGGGACCATTGCGTTAATAAACGGGAGGCAACATGGAAGTAGACCTGGTCAATCCACATGTGGTCCATAAATTTCGGGTTCCACGTGGCAAAATCTAAAAGGAAGGTCATGTCTTTCTTGTGTTCATCTACATTTTAACACTCTATTGACTATGAGCATTTCTACAAGAAAGATTTTTCTTGTTAACGCCGCTGCTAGGGCCCATTTTGCCTTATATCAACTAAGCTAAGCTTCATGTTTGCTTCAAAAAGTCGTGTATAGAAAGATGGCATTACTGGTAGTGTTTTCTTTTCCTTCTCCCAACCCCTGAGAGCTCATTTTTCATTTCCATTTTACTTCTGTTCTTTTTCTCATTGCTGTCAAATTGTGGTACAGGAGGAGTTCCAAGAGTCTGCTGTCAAGGCCAAGGCCTTACCTCCAACAACAAAAAAGATGCAGAAAAACTGATTTTATATGGGCTTTACAAGCAAGCAACAGTGGGAAATGTTAATACCAGTATGTAAA